ACGAAAAGCACCAATTCTCCCAAAACTAACAGGTGCTCTTTGCTTAATGAGTATCATCTTACTCTCTCGAAATACTCTCACATGGCCACGCGTATACAGCCTCTGCTAGGGTAGTCCTACTCACTACCTCGTGGCGGAGGTGTTGTTTACAAAATTAAGAGGACGAAAAGCGAATATCCGGCGCTTTAACCGGGTTCGTAGATATGGAGGATCCACCAAGGGGAGTTGGAAAACCCTGATTCCAAACCAATGGTGCACATGGGCTATAAGATCCTAAGTCAACAGATAGTGTATGAACCAATCCTTGGTCACCGACTACCATGGGACTGTATCTCCTTACGTTGCTCCACTTCTTTGTGGATCAGACCTTTAGGTTGAGGGCTCAGGATGTGGCTCCCTATGGAAACTACCTGTTTCGGTATCATAACCGAAACACAAATCAGGTGACTTGTGTGTAGCATATGTATTCAGTGCCCCTTTGTACGAATGTTTACGTGTTCAAATAGATAAAAATAAAATAAGGCCCAGGGTATACTGTCAACTGCCTCTAACCACTTAACAAATACTATTTTGGAAATTCTAAATATCAATTTGTGCAGCACTTTAAAAGAATGTACTGTATGTCTAACATCCTTATTTGATTATTTTCGACAACTAATTGGCGTAAAACACATTAATTGTTACACGGTCTTGTTGAGATATTCTCTCCATCTTTACTTTTCGCTATAGTATTAGTCTGTAAAACACTTCAGATGTTTGATTAGATTTCGCGTAGGTAAATTGTTTTGCCTTAGTAACTGAGTTAACAAATGAGTCTCATACTGTATCGCTTATGTTAGCTAACTATTCAATCGAGTATTGCTATATTGTTTTAAGTCAACTGTTTTTCTTCTGTAGGTTTTCTGTTTATTAATACAATCATTTATCTGCCTTAGTAGTAACCTAAAGCTTTACTTCACTATTTGTGTTGATTCTTAATTTCCTGTCATGTTTATTTTCGAGATTGAGTTAATCATTCTCTCTTTTTTGAGCATATAACATCCTTGAACTCATGTCTTGTTTCTATCAAAGTTTTACCAGTTGGTTAACAATGTAGATAGTAAACAATAGTGATTGGGTTCTATAATAAACGTGACATACTATTTATGTTTAAATAACGCGAGACTATAATTTATGGATGAGCCAATCAGATTTAATATATCAGGTCTTAAATATTGGCTCGAAATTCATCCACCCAATAGGTTAAATAGCGTTTTAACATTTTAGCTGATTTTAGTTCGCGATGAAAACCGTAAATCGAATTCTTAATCTTAACCATCAACTGTAAATCATAATTCCTCACACTGATATATTGCCCTCAGTTCTGGTTAGTAGGTGGACATTCTTAAGGTCATTTTAGCATTGCTCAAAGGTCATCTATAAATTATAATCTCATCAATTAAACATTTAAAACCTGGAGTCACTGGACGGCCGTTTCGTCCTATTGTGTGACTCCTCAGCAGTGCGCATCCACGACCTCACCTCGCGAGATTCGAACCAAGGACGAAACGGCCGTCGAGCAGTGCTTCCAGGTTTTCCACGGTGGTCTAGCTTCAATTGACTCATGATCTTAACTATATAAACATTTAAATATCTAGTACACATTAACTAAAGTATTTGAGCTAAAGTAACAAAATAAGACTGTTAAATAACAAAGGAATTTAACATATAAAAATGAATTACATAGAAACAAAATAAAATTATTAGTTCAATGGAAACGGTAAAAAACGGATACAAATGTTCGATTTCAATTTATCATGTGTCCTAAGGCTAAAATAAAATAAAAATTAAATTTTTATGATTTTACTTTTATAAAACTTTTCTCAGCCTGTTTTCAAAAAAAAATTACTTTATATTATCGATTGAATCAGATGATTTAATTTGCCGTAAAGTATTCAAATTACTCTGGAATAATACAGTTTTTATTTTTACCCCTTTGTTTCATAAATTATAGACTCTTCAGTTTCCTTCTTTTTTCTTTTTTGAAAAAAATAATTTGGTTGTTCTTTTATTCATCTTTAATTTGATCTACTGCTATTGATTTATGATCTTATTGAGAGAAAATTATACTTTATTCGATAAAATGGAAAGTAGAACTTTTCTCTTCCTCTCTCTCTTTCTCTGTGCGTCTGCATATGTGTGCATGTGTGTATGTATATAACATCATCCTCATGGAGATAATGATAGATACGGTAGAAAATTCTCTTAGTACTAATAATTATCATTTATTTGTATTATTTTTAATGTAATGTAACAATAAAGAGTTATATAAGAACTTTCGTTTAAATTAGAGCGAATAGTTTCACAGTATTTGAGCGCCGAAGACATTAAATAGGAATAATATGTATTTGTAAAATTTCAGCGAATGAATTTAAAGTAAATCTAACGTTTTACCTGGCGATCTGATCCAAGCTTTTTCATGGAATTATGAAGAGTTTGAACCAGATTGTCAGGCGAAACATTGGATTTACTTCAAATTCATTCGCTGAGATTTTACAAATATATTATTCTTCCTATTTAATAAAGAGTTATTATCGAAAAGAAATAGTTATGAATTGCGAGTACGTCCTGTATATTACACTGTGAATGGTTTTTATCAACCGTGTTAAGTTTTTGAGTTAAAATTAAACTTTACTTACATGAATGATAAAGTTTACATAGTTGCATAAATACAAATGGTAAATTATTTGGATTTGTAAATGGAGAGTTAGCTTTATTCTAGGTTGACCTGTATAACCTTAAATTGTATTGATTTATACCAAGGAATTCTTGTTGATGCAAAGTTAGAAATTCCGATATTATGTATTTTTTTTTATCAATCTACTTCATTAAGCTTCAGTGGGTTAACAAAAAGGTGTTTTATTTCTAATTAAATACTAAATAAAATTATAAATATCCATAAGTTACTACCTGTTAGCTACTCAATATACTGCTTGAGTTTTTTGCCAACATTGTTTCGTGCATTTTCCCGTGTTTTCATGCAGCATAATCCTTATATTTTCTTAAGTTGCTAATGCGATTGTGTTTTGTAATGTAAACACATATAAGGCTGTAATACTGAACGTCTTGTTTGACTGATTATTGATATGACTGGATTGTTGGTCATGTAATTGGTGTACTGCTTTTTATTGGAATATAACTCCAACATATGGTACATTTACAAGCGTTTTTTTTTCATTTCAATTGAAATAATAATTTTATTTAGTTTCTGTACAATTCCTTCTTATACGCTCAATTCCTTTGTCCTTTGACAGTTTTATCGTGTAACTCCATTCTTTTTACATAATATGTGTTCCGTGTTGAAGATACTGTCTTCATTTTTGTACATTATCATTATCACTTTACTTTCTACCCTTAGAAGTTGGTAAACGCGGGAGAAAATCTCCATGACCTATGTTTATGTTGCTATTTGTTACTGATTACGGGATGTATATGAGTTGATAAAATTGAAGATATTTCTTACTGTTATCAAGACGTCAATAACATGTCTAGATACTAAACACAATATATGTATAAAATGTTGAACATTAAAGGAACTTCACTATCAGGAAGAAATACTTTTCGCCATTTCACTTCAATTCTTTTTTTTTGGAACGAAACATATTATATAATATTTGAGTAGTGATGAATGAAGACTAAGCTGATTTATCTTTTGATTACATGTAGATCAAACTGAATTAGGTATTTGTTGCTTCTAGGTTTTTTTTAAGCCTATCAACTCTCCAGGCAATAATAATTCAAAAGGAAAGCTTATCAAAGTACCAAAAAATATACGGATTACTGAAGGGTAGAAAAATAACCATAATGGAATTGCCAAGTCGTAATTTATTTTTAGCAAGCTGTTATCCATTTTAGCGAATTGATGTAAAAAACCGTATGTATATGTATATTTAGATTAAAAATATTGTCACTCATTTATTTGCCAAATTTTATATTCAATATAAAAAATATTTCTGCAACTAAATTGATCAATGTTAATAATCAAATGGTCGGTGGGAGATTTAGATAGCCTGGAGGAAGGTTGACCAATTGAAAATCAAGAAGGACTGGAAGTTTGTTTTGTTTTATTAAGAACTCTTTGGTATTTTATAACGTGTTGACGATTGTACTCAACCACAGAGTCAATGGTCAACCTTTTCCATCATTGGGAGTAGATTTTGCTAAACAACAAATCATATTAAGTTCATAGCCATGGATTCTAACCAGATCCGTAGAATATCTATGTAAAATAAAGTCATTGATGAGTATTGGATTACTAATATCTTGCTTATATATATATATATATATATATATATATATATATATATATATATATATATATAGTATTTATCGTCGGTCTCGTGAACGGGTTCTAACTTGTTAGGTGTAAATGTTCTAAAGTAGAATGTTTTAGTGGTACCGAATTTGCGCTAAAAAACACTACATCTTGAACCTAGTTTCGTTTATCAATTATTGAGAACCAGAAATCATTGAACAGTTGCTTCGTCCTAGTATGAGATTACTTAATCAGAACATAATTTCAACCTCAGCAATTTCCACTTTTTTTATATCTATAAGATTTATAAACTTGATGTTATCGTTCTGTAAACTAACTATTCAGAATAGAAAATGGGCTAAGATTAAAAAAAAAAGTAAGCAACAATAGATAGTAATGACAATAGATAAGTAATGACCAGATAGTCTAGACCATGAAGTTACAGTTCAAAGAAATTGTAAATTTACGCATTTTAATGTATATACACTTATATTTAATACTAGTACATTCCTCTCACTTAATTCTTTACTGTAATATTGATTTTTTACAAGTCAATTTCTTATTGATTAGTTCATATCACTACCTGGCGATACGGATGTTTTCTCGTTTGGTTTTTTTTATTTGTATTTCAACAAAACTTTCATGTATGCATAACATTGCAAGCACATTATATATATATTTCGTCTATTAACTATATTTTCTACAGATGTTGGAACAATTAGCATTTAATTTGAACACACATTATGCGGAGTTTTTACGATCTCCTGAAGGAATTCACTTTTCTGGCAAAGTTTGTCTAGTAGCTGACAGTGTTGGTTCAATTTTGGCTCATGATCTTTTAACAAAACCTACTAGTCATGAGTCAATATCGAATAATAATGATACAAGTATAACAGATATTGGATTAATGCGTCGTAAACAATTTGGTATTCATGGTTTAATACAGTCGGATAAAGAAATCAAAACTCCAATTTTAATAAACAGCCCAAGTGAAGTCACTTTATGCCCAGTAAGTTTTTCTAGGTGAGTATTGTTCAAATAAGTAATTCAGAAGTAGTGGAATATTTCTTCATAAATACACCAGGTTTTTGTTTTTAACGATAGACATGGTCATTTTTCGTATATGTGTATGGTTTAATGATCCTTCTTATCTTCATAGAATTAGTTCCTTTATTGAGTTTGGATCATGTACGAATAACAGACAATTGAAGCAGAACATAATATGAATTCATCGTATTTCGTTGATTTTTTCATGGTCTTTTTGTACAGTTTAGTTCATTTTGAAATATGATTATGATATTGATAAATCGACAATGATGACTTTCAATAGCTGAAATGACATATTTGTTCCTAAATAGCATAATATGTAAATAAATCAAGGCTGGAAGATCGGTCAAATGGATTGTGTAACAATTATTGAAAATGAAGAAGGTAATAAATAAATTATAAGAATCGGATCTGGGCACTTTCGAGGTAAATGAAATAACAAATAATCAATAAAAGGTGACTAGTTGTTACACACTATAGATGATGTTAAATGGTTTTACAAAGTATATAACATTGAATGATGATCGTGTCATATTGTAAATCGACTGAAATTCTAGAAAAGTTGGCCTTTGGATCTAATGATGCCGTGCTCAGTGCGTAACCTGGTTATTCTGGTTTTGATACCTGATGTTGTCCTATTCGCCCATTGGAAAGTTGAAACTGATTAAAGTGAAACAGTTTTGTAGTGTGCTTCTTGGTTAATAATAGTTTTAAGACTAAAACATGTTGATAGTGACAGTGATTTTCAAAATGAACAATTTTTAAGAACCTATTTAAAAATATATTCATTTTGGTAAGCAAAGATAGATAGTGGCTAGCAGTGGAATCCAGGACGCGCGTTTCGTCCTATTTGTAACTCGTCAGCTGGATGTGCCTAGAAAACACGCGTCCTGGATTCCACTGCTAGCCACTATCCATCTTTGCTTACCATGCTTGTGAATTCAGGCTATATCAAGGCAATACCCACAGTATGCACATATGTCAATTAGAGACTGACCAGTTGCAGTCCTAAAAACATCAATGGGAAGATCCAAACAAACAATACTAAGTATATATATATATATATATATATATATATATATATTCATTTTGGATCGTTTTTTATACACACACTTAAATATTTCTATTTTTAGATTATTGGTTAATTTAAAAATTTGATCTAGAGACCGGTTTTCTTTATCAATCAATATGCACATAATTTCATGATACCTTTCGAATACGTAGTGCATACTTGTTAAAAGTATCAATCCTTTGATCTCTGTTCTCGATTCCTAACTATCAGGTTTAATGTTCAAACACTTAACTACCTTTTATTTTGTTCTAAATTTATGTGTTTCATATTTCTGTATGAAAACACACTAAGAATTTAGCTATGAAGTTTATTTTCGAAGAATATCTCTTCACTTTGTACATTGTTACACAAGTAGCAGCTTTATCAGAAGCGGATTGCGTAATTTCCTTTGAAAATGTTCTCAAGTTGTATGCTATTCGAAAAATAAATGTAAAATTACCGGCAACAGTTTTTTTTTAAAATTGTAAATATGCGATTACATTATTTCCTTTTTGTATGTATTAACAATATATGATACTGGTGAAACGACCATTCGAAATCTAAAAGTATATAAAATTGAGGAGAACTAAACGGAATAATATAAGGAAGAAGGGCCGCCTAAATAAAATAAGTTCACGCCTGAGTGCAAAGTGAAATCTATGACAATTTCTTATCTACATTAACCACTCATTATGTCAGAAATAATCAAATATTTCTATTTTCAAGGATATCTGTCTATCAATTAAGGGGCGAGTACACTGCGCAGCAGTTCGCTCTGTTCTACTTTACGGCTGTGAAACATGGCCATTAAGAGTAGAAGATACTCGTAGGTTACTAGTATTTGACCACAGATGCCTTAGAAATATTGCTCGTATCTGCTGGCATCACCAGGTAAGTAATAGTGAGGTTGGACACAGAGTATTAGGGAATGATGGTAAATCAGTTGATGAGGTGATAAATCTTCATCGAATGAGATGGTTGGGCCACGTGTTACGTATGTCTGAACACCGAAAACCACGACGCGTTATGATGACTTGTATCGGCGATGGTTGGAAGAGAGTAAGGGGTGGTCAAACCGAAACGTGGCATCAGAGCTTGAAGTCACTAACTTCTAGTCTGAGCCATATTGGCAGATGCAGACTACTTGGTTGGGGTCCGCGTGACTATCGTAACCAATGGTTGAAGACTCTGTGTGATATGGCTCAGAATCGATCAAAATGACGTAGGTGTATACACTCTTTATCTTCCCTTAAACCTTGTTGTGCTAACGAGGTATGGCAACTTGGACCGATGCATATATGTGCCTGGTCCTACGTTGTAGCTGTCTGACTGTCTGACTGCTGTTGTATATATGCTCAAATTTAATGCTTTCCATGTTAACAGTGAGTAGTAATGAAAAGCATTTTCGTAACATTCGGTAAATAGGTCTACTACTAATTCTCTTTTAATGTATGAACTCCTATAAAAATTGTTCCCAACTACGTACATTCGGATGTGTACGATGTATGCTCTATATTTGTATAGATGAAATAGCCACGGTTGTTGTTTTCAGTAGACGTTTCCTTAAAATACTTATCTCTTCAACTCATTGTGTTCTCCAAATAACCTTTTGGATCGTTTCAAAAGTGAATAAGATTTGTCATTTTTTGGATAGAGTTTCATCTAGAATATCGATATTTTGGAGATCCATCTATGTGTATGGTCACAAGCATGCTGAGAAAAGAAATGAACGATTTCGATTCCTTCTTCAACATAAATCTCCATATCTTAGTTTGTAACGATTAGAAAATCAATCATATATGCTCTTTATTTTGAAGTCATGTATAATTTTTGAACTGAGATCAATTTTCGATACATTCTAACTGACTGATAATGGCTTCAGCAGTAATCTCATTGTATTTTAGTCCTTTTGTGTATTTTTTTTTGATAAAAATAAGTTGTATTATTAAAAGTATGTTTCAGTAGGAGTTCCTTTAGGTTGATGTTTGTATATTATTCGTTCATATTATACTGGTGTGAAATGAACAGTCATATCAGTTAGCCACATGCTTGTTTAATAAATGTGTTTTTGTTTTCTAACACAATGCTGTAATTATAATCATGGATGTATGGCGGTTATCAATGGAATCCAGGACGGCTATCTGGATTCAATGGCTAAATTAATAACACGATGTAGTTTGGAGCGAATTGTAGTGGGCTCGAGTACAGGAGTGAAGATCAACTGCGGGATACAGGTAAATCCAGCTAACGAGTTCCAAATAAAACGAGACTCGCGTCCTTGATTCCATTGTTGGCCACCATCCATCTCTTTTCATAATAGTTGTGACTTAAGACAATATCAAGGCAATCTGCACAGGATGCACATATGCCTATAAGAGAAAGATCAATAGGAATATTTAAACAATCAACACAAAAATGAACTAATGCTGAAATGTTTTGTCTATTCCACATACTATTGTATTCTACAAATGAAACTACACTCTAGTAAGTTGGTCAAGTTACTCGTAACTGGTATTGTACCTAAGTAAGTAAACAATTAATCTAGGTTGAACTGTATTTCTCGGTTGACAGTATTTAATTCATTTGTAATTGTGTTTTCTGTAAATTTCTATAGCCTGAATCAAATACTAGTCTAGGAAACGTTGAATCGTCCAGTCCGGAAAATGAAGAATCTAAACTATATGGTCGAATGTCTTCTATAGACTTTCAGGTATGTTGTTATTACTTTTTTTATTGTCAATAAACTTGCCTTTTGACTATTCTTATTATCATCAATCAATCAACATATAATAACAATCTGATCTTTACAGTTATTGACGTTAAACAAATCATTAGGAAGATAGAATATCATGTGGTTTTTGTTTTGATTCTATTAAAATGCCTTTTATGGAATTTGCGAGACATTTCAAAGTTGTTGAAAAATTTTAATTCAAAAGCTTTAATAGGTTGAGAATTTTTTTTCGAATTTATACAAAACATTCAGTCATCTACAGCGTAGGACTAGGCAAATTTTTGCATCGGTCCAAGTTGCCATGCCTCATTAGAACAATAAGATAAACACCAAATTCATAGAAGCAGTTACTCCAATGGCAGTAATTTATTAAAACAAAATTGCATATAAAGATATGATACAGGGAGAAAGAATTGGTTCGTAGGAAGGTACAAAATCATTTTCATCTCACAGGTCAAGTGGAAACAAAAAGTGTGTGATGATCAATTTTAATTGTCATAAGTCAATTGAAGCTAGACCACCATGAAAAACCTGGAAGCACTGAACGGCCGTTTCTTCTTATTGTGGGACTCTTCAGTAGTGCGCATCCCACGAACGTAGGACCTACCAGTCTCACGCCAGAGCACTTAACCGTAAGACCACTGAGCTGGCATCCAGCCGTGTTAATGTCTAACCTCAACCAATCCATGAAATTGCGCGATCAACTTCCATTGTACTGAGGTAGATACCTGTCTCTACCTGACATAGATTAGCTCCACTGGCCACGACTTCTCACTAGAACTCTAGGTATTACCTCATGGAGCCAGTCACTAGTGAGCATCGTGGATGCGCACTTCCGAGGAGTTCCACAATGGGACGAAACGGCCGTCAAGCAGTGCTTCCAGGTTTTCCATGGTGTTCTAGCTTCAATTGACTTATGATCTTAATTATATAAAAAAATTACTAAAATCTCCACAAAACTCCCTTGTGTAATCATATTATTTTTCATATTGATTAACATATTCAACGAACTTTTATTTTTAATTGTATAATTGCTGCATTAAATAATTGTAATATACATAGATGATAATATTAATTGACCTTAACATTTGTATATATTATAAAAAATGAAAAATAGAATACTCTTTATCAAAAGTCATAAATAATAATTCATGTTGTTATCGTATGTAATTCAAAATGGATAATAGTTACATTGTTATATTTTTGTTTAGATGGAACTTCGTGCCTAGTGTCAATATTGTTTGTCTAATAGTTTCATCTTCTATAAGCAAGATTTTACAGATATATATATATATATATATATATATATATATATATATATTGTACATTAATCCACGAAGTACCAGAATGTACAGTTACGCAGTTTATCTATTACACTTCAATTTAACTTCTGGATATCATTGTCATAAGTTAATGGTGCGAATGTTTGATGAAAATATGTTCCCAATTGAATTTAAGATATTCTAGGGAAACAGAATATTCTTTTTTAAACAATATATTATCTTAAACTGTATAATAGTAATTTATTGTATTTATGATGCTCTTTGAAATTTTTATTATCGGAATGCATGTCCTATAACTTACAGAGTTTATCGGACATTTGTTTTTTAAACATTCTACAACGTTTGTCATATGATGTGAAACAAGAGAAAGTAATCTGGATTGTTATTCTGCAAACTGTTAACTTAGAGGCTTAAGCACTCGATTTTCAACTAATAATATTTAGTATCAGAAGGGGTTTTGGGGATTTTAATAGTTGAGATGAGTCGTTTAAAGCTAGAAAATCTGGAATCACTGGATGGCCGTTTCATCCGACTGTGGGACTCCTCGGTTGTGCGCATCCACGATCTCGCTTCGCGTGATTCGAACCCAGGACTTATCAGTCTCAACTCAGTGGTCTAGAGGTTTAGCGCTCGCGCGCGAGACTGATAGATCCTGGGTTGGAATCTCGCGAAGCGAGATCGTGGATGCGCACTACCAAGGAGTCCCATTATAGGGTGAAACAGCCGTCCAGAGCTTCCAGGTTTTCCATAGTGGCCTAGCTTCAATTGTCTCATGATCTCAACTGTTGAAATAAGTTTTGGGTTGAAATATTTCATAACATGTCTTTTGTTTAAACATCCAGATAGTATTGTTAGCTCCCAGATAATCAGTATGATACAAATCTAAATATATTAACGTATATTAGGCAATTTAGTTGAATTGTTTACATTTAACATCTTCGCAGTTCCCTAGTGTAATTTTCTGTTTTAGTGCTGTTATTTAACCGATAACCACGTTATTTAAGTTTAGCGTTTGTTTTAATTCCATCGTTGAATTAATTGTTGACCTAAATTTATCAGGCTCTGTTCGATATTGTATTGGTGTTTTTTAATGTTAATATGAATATTGAAATTCATGATTATTTAGTTAATGTTTATAGAATGGGAAGTAGTGACATACATTAAAATTGTAAGTGAATGATCAGTATCAACAAAATACATTGAATTTTAATGTTTTAGTCTTTATGAGAACAGCCTACTAACATGTGTTGATCACTAACAGTAGTATTTAATTCTAATCATATGTTCGTGTATATCGAAATTTTGAAATGATAACTTCTAGATAGATCATAAAAACTGGCATTGTTTTTTAATAAAAAAACCCTGACTAAACAGTTTATTATTATTTTTATCTTTGTGATCTACCAAATTCTAATCTTCTGAATTCTTCATGTCCCTATCCTTTTTCTCTTTCCGAATTTATTTCATTGGATTATACTCCTTGAATAACACCTTCAAACCCTAATCTTTCCGATTACTGCTTATACTCTTACTACTTCTACCACTATGGGATTTGAATCAACAACTGCATCTCTGTATTAATGTGGTATGTCAACTCGAACTGATGTACGTACATACAAAGTTCTACGTTGTGACTGACTGACTGACTTTATCTGGTTTTTATTTGAAATGCATTTGAAATTACCATGCTTCAATTTCTATTTAATTTGAGTAAACAATTTCTTATGTAGTTAAAATTCAGAATGCATGAAAAAAACTAAGTTACTGTCATGTTCTATGTTGTATAAGTTGAAGATTTCGTTATGAATTGAAATCATTCGAAAAACTATTGAATATCAACATACTTCTGTTTTGTTCTACCTTAGATATTTACAACTGTGTACAATCACAACTATCTAGTTTAAATGTACCTTGCTTACTATAATATCTGCAGATCTTGGAGTTTATTTTATTTTGGTTCAAGAGTGTTCACCACTGCGTGATTTTCGGTGATGCTTCATACGATATTATTTCGTGACGAAAAGATATCTACAAGATGTTCATTAGTTCTGTATAAAGTTCCTAGTTTGACCATATTATTATCATCGTTATCTTAACATAATTGTTACATTACTCTGACCTTAACATTGTTTTCAATAAACCATGATCATTAGGTATGATATTATTCACCCTGAGCAATGCTTGTAGATTTGTTTTATATGTTCATATCTACCCAATGATACATAGTTACGCTTTGTTTTATTTACCTCATTCAACATTAAAGTTTACATCAATAAACTCTTGGTTTTCCGTTACATAAAACGTATTTACATTCTATTATGTTTTTTTCATAACGTTTTAATTAGTTGTTTTTTTATGCATCAATTCATTATGTCTATTTTAATAATTACATAAATGTACCCATATGTATTAGGGAATTGTTAGCAAAGATGGATAGTGACTAGCATTGGAACCCAGTTTGACGCGCGTTTCGTCCTATTTCGGACTCATCAGCTGGATGTACATGCATCTCAGAGTTGATGTTCACTAATGGGTCTCGAATCCAGTACCTTTCGCTTCAAACACCATCACATTATCCACTCAGCTACTCAGTCCTGATAGCCACTTTCTTGTGCAATGGGGTGAATTTTTAAATTCACATTATGCACATATGCCAATTAAAGACTGACCAGTTGTAGTTCTAAACATCAATAGGTAGATTCAAACAAACAATATTAAGGAGATTATTTTCTTTTTCAACCTTATATGTAATACTATATTTACACATGAATGATATAACTTATTTGGTTTATCTATTTTCATCCTAATTTTTCTTTCATTATTCAAGATATATTTTGAATGAAATTTTTTTTATTTAAAAAAGGTACAAAACTTTTTTATGTTGGGTTCACCAATTGGTTTAATATTGGCATATCGTTATCAAAAACATCAATTGGCATCATCTACTAAAACAACTAATTTAATTATTAATTCATCTTATAATATGACTTATCATTTATCAAAAGGTAAGTTATTTCATCTACAAATTGACCGTTTGTTGTTGTTGTTGTTGTTGTTTTGATTCATATAAAGTATCTTACTTCTATATATGTGACTTTATAAAAAAAATTGATTATTTAATGAAGCAGAAAAAAATAAATCAATAATCGGGAACAAATGTTACTAATTTAATTGATAAAAACATTTATGTGTCATGAACAAAAACTCTAATGAAAAATTACAAAGTACTTTTGTTAAAATAACCATATATTAAATACATTATTTGCATATCATCAGTTGTACTGTATGTGTTTTATTATTATTATTATTATTATTATTATTATTATTATTATTATTATTATTATTATTAGTAGTAGTAGTAGTAGTAGTAGTAGTAGTAGTGTAGTGAACAGAACACTAGTTGGGGACAATCGAATGTATTTAAGCAAACATTACAGACTATCTCAGTAAATTCTGATTACCAAGCAATGAACAGTCAATTTGCAAATTAACAACCAATTGTTTCAATCTTCACTGTTTCTTCTCTTATTCCATTGCTCATGCATTTTCCAAACGATTGCGCTTCATTTCAGTTCTTTGCTCATCGGTCTTCTGCCAAAATACATTCTATGTCTGACCCACACCATATACTACTTATATAGATATAAGTAGACCACACCACAGTAGTAGTAGTAGTAGTAGCTCTATTCAATATTATATTTTTGGTACAATATAGAATTCTCAGCACAAAATATTTCAACAAGTTTACGTTTCTTACTCCTTGATCGATCCTGACGACAAATATTAAGTGATCGCCAGTTAAAAGTTAGCAGTCCAGTCAATTGACATCTAAATAATGTACATTCTTTTCGCTGCATATTACCAGCAACCATGATATCTCTGATTGGGCCTTTTGTAACTTGTACAACGAAATGTTGTATACTTTTCAGAAACGCAGCTGAATAGGTTATGCGATTAGTAGTCATAATGATGTATTAAAACAAACCAAATTAGATAATTTGATGAAATATCTAGATATCAGTAACAGGTAGCCCAGATGTTCAAGCTAGCCACTTTTATGATTCTTTCAATCTTCTTGTTATTACAATTGATCTCTATTTCTCTTCCTGTTCTCTTCAACTCGATCTTCTGCTGGCAGGCATTTTATTTCCGATTGGTGCCACATAATACGTATATCTGTCAACATAAGTAGCATACATCACATGTATGCATTGCTAAATTGTCAAAATTTAATTAATCTACTGATTTAGGTGTAGATTTAGAATACTGTTTATAAGCTGTTCAGTTTCTTGTCAAGTTTTTACATGATTTGTTGTTAAATGTCAATGCTGATCGTCAACTGAGCTGATCAAATTAAAAAGAATAACTATTAAATTAGATAACGTGACATTCTAGGCATTATTTACATGATTGATTTTACATCCATGGAATCAGTATAGAGTTGTGGAGATTGTATAATTTCACTTAGCTTATGAACCGGTCATTATTAGACCACCATTAAAAACTTAGAAGAACTGGAAGGCCGTTTCATCCTGGCATCAGATTCCCTAGAAGTATGAGTTCACAATCCTGTGCGCCGGGGCTCAAACCTAGGACCTTCTGTCTTGTGCTAACGCCTCACTTTCAGACCACTGAGCTGGCGTCCAATAGTGTTGAAATCTTTTTCTTTTGAGCTGTACAAGTGGTTGGTTGGCGCATATGTACCTGGTGCCCTTTTGTACTAATATATATGTGTTTAAATAAATAAATAATAATATCCCCACAAATCAGCTGTGTATACTAGGTAGTATAAAAACTATATTGGAGCTTCTCAGTTTGGTTTTATATAGTTTTACCTTCCTCGGTTAGAGTTTAACTTTGACATTGGTGCTCTCTTTTGGTCAGTTTACAGAAGTAAATTGCAACTCTTGTAGGCTTTAAAATAACTCTTATCCGAATCAACCAGTATATCTTTCTGATATGCATCAATGCGAACCGGGGAATTAGTTGTCTGAATTTGCCAAACCACTTTAAATCACCTAGGCACCACTGTTTATTGTTTTGAATGTTTTCAACTGCCCAGGTTCCAAGTTGGTGGAAAACTCAATGAAGTTAGAAGTATATTAGTTGTAGTTCTGTGTAATATTTTTGATAATCTATTTCTTATCCAGTATTTGGTTCCGTTTTTAAAGTTGAATTGTAGATTCAAACATGGTTCTCATTATCACATTTGAAATGATTAAATTTGGAAATCCGGTGAATTTATATCATGTGGATACCTTGATTATCCCATTCTGATACTAGTTTTTGAGATGGTTCCAATGTCAGTCATTGCCTCTTGTTCCTCGTAGACAAGTTTTTCGTCAAAATTAGTGTGACATGATTTCGTTTTTTACTTTATAGTCATAATCTTTTAGGGGATACTCAGTTACTCATTGGAGAATAATATCAATTGAGGACTGGAAGTTATTCCATTTTTCTGTTACTTTGCGGTGTTTTGTTTCGGTTAGGATAATACATCTTTATTTGAATCATGTGAGCCTTTGCACGATAGCAAGACCAAATGTTAACTCCCTTATCTTGCGTGGAGTTATAACATCAAACGATTTCCTATCAGATGCATTATACATGAATGGTTTGAATGAATTTTTCTGGTTAGCGTTTTTTTAGCGAGTTGATTTTCTACGGGATGGGGTCGCTAACCCCATGCCCAACCCTCCTCCTTTACCCGGGCTTGGGACCGGCAGTAGCCCCTGGAGGAGCTACAGGCGGAGTTAGTAAGTAAGTAAGTAAGCATTATACATAGAATAAACTTATGTAATAAATTTTGCGATTGAAATTAATAATCAACTCTTGTTTGCTACAGTACGCTTCTCGATGATGTGTATATGTTTAGCTTATTGTCTCTTTGTTTTTCTTTTTCACAATCATAGAAATTAAGTTGTCCGTAGATCAAGCTTATAATCTTTTTCATTTAACTGATCCATGCGGTTTTCGTATTGAACCATTATTGGATAATCGTTTCAGTTGTATATCCCCAATAATAATTCCCCAATATGTTCGTTATCCACTTGGAGATGGACAGTCAACAAATCTAATTGAAACTCTTATACAACAGGCTGAATTATTTTCTGCAAATGTTTCCGAAAAATCATACAATTTATCCAATAGTGATAATTCTACGACTAATGAAAATAATGATGGTTGCGTAAATGTAAAACGACAATTGACAAACCAGCAGTTAAATTGGGAAAAAAAGTCTATTGTTGCGCTTGAAGCATTGAAAAATGGTTTGTTTGTATGAAATTTTTTTTGTTCATATGTGTAACGTACTGAATATACTTTGTAGTAGTACTAATATTGTTGCAAAATGTTTTTTGTTGATAAAATATCCTTTTTTTGCAAGATTAGTAACTTGCTTATTTACTTGTAGTTAAACGGAATATATTGAAGCTGAGAGCTCTATGACTATCTAAATGTCACAATACTAAATGTAATCAAAAATCACTGTAACAGTGACAATGTTATTATCCAAAGTAACAAAATCCCTCTTGATGCAACATAAAATGTTAAAATATGCAGTCACCATTAACTAGTTTACTAATGAAGATTCATAATACTTTCTGTATTACTCTCCAACTCGCGGCACGATAGTCTTGATCAACCACCACAGATTTTTCTTGCCCAACAAACAGTATTTCAACGGTGCCAGATGGTATAACATTCCTCGGTGAAACCAACTAGCAAGACCTTTCTCAGTACATTAGCAACTGCAGTGTTGTATAAGACAATTCGCATCTCGATTATAAGTAGTACCGTAGAAATCTCACCGTATGTATGGGTATTCTGGCTATTTCTTCTTGATGATCATGAATAATGCCAAAAAAAGTTTTTAATATCCTCGGACTTACGATTGATTTCAGGAGAGTATATATTTTAAAAGCTACAGCTATGGCATTTGACTAGGACATTTAACTAACGAAGCCATGATATATTGGTGGATTGACTTATAGACGATCATTTGCATAACTCGGAAAGCATGAAGATTTTCCATTCTTATTTTTGGACGATTGTTCAAATGGTGTGAAGCATTTGTTGATAGCTGCACTAGTTATTCATAATACTGACATTTACTCCTTTATCTTATATTCAGTCATAACACGAAACGAATTTCTATCAGATGCGCTACAGCTGCCTTAAATTTTGTGTAAGGTCATTTCAACCAGTCGATAAACAGATTCGAGGAAATAATTCAACATACAGTAGATCATGATAGTCCAGTTCTCCATAGTAAGACATCTAGTAAAAAAGTTAATGAATTGGGAACAGAGTGAACTGAATATGAATTCAATGGACAAAACAATTGTGTATAAACTAAATATTCCATATCTTTTGAATAAGGAGATCAATATGTTGATAGATTGCAATTTCCCATAGACGAAGTCGTGTAGCAAATGTTTGGAGATTAAACAGATGTATTCTACATTAAATGATCGTTGAACCAGAGCTTATCATCGTTGCTCTTCGATATGTATTCAAGCCAAACAGCACAACTAAGTTAGACTGACGTAGATTGTAATCAGATGTTTAGAAAGTATGTACATATGTATGTAGGTACTGGGTTCGAGTCTCAGAGTGAACATCAACTCTGAGATACAGGTACATCCAGTTGACGAGTCCCGAATCTTATATAAAGTTACTTCATAACGATGACTTGTATTCCGGCTAAAAATGTGCTATATACATCTCGGCTATCCAATAAGCATTTCAGAAACAGTGTTTTCTTCATTGGTTTTTAATGTTTTGAAATCGATTTTCTACCAGTGCCTTGGTATCTAAAAAAATGATTCTTTTTTCTTACCTTGTATATTATCAAACTGGGCTTCAAGTAAATTACACGTTTAAGTTGTTAGTTATAGGCTTTTTTCATTATATACACTTTAAATACTTCTGTATATTTAATTTCACATTGGTTTGGTATATGATTTACTCATTGGTTTATCGCCTCATACCTATCGAAACTGCTTTTGTTTAGGGTTTCATTTATGAGTATCTCTCTTTGTACTGCAATATGAAATGAAATGTTGTGAAACAAATTACTAGCATGATGATAATGCTTTACATTTTTACACTCATTTGTAAAATTATATTACACTATATTGAAGTAAATGGAGTTAAAATGTCTCAATTTACTACTCATTCATCTCAAACAAGTAGCTTTTATCAGTAACCACTTTTTAAGCATTTGCTTCCCCTTTTTTTAGTTCAACAGTCATGGTGGGGACCTAAAAGAGTTGATTACAATGTTCATTGTCCGGAAGCAATGCAAAATATTTTAGCTCGTGCACGTCCTTCAATTTTGCATGCAAGCTATTGGGAATCAAAAGATGTAGCATCTTTTATTATACGACAGGTTAGTTTGTTCAGTTGATATTTAGAACTTAAAGTATGATACAAATGACCTCAAATGATAACCTTTTTGTACATCAATTAATGTCAAACAGTGGATTTTTAAATTGAATTGAATATATGCTTAATCCGTATTTATCATTCTTCAGTATTAGACTATAGTACAATGTAGATAAGATTAACCACATGTTTGGAGCACGCGAAATAACTAAATATTTTGAAATTAATGATTGTACTACTGTTTTTGGTCATGTTTTGTCCTTTGAACTAGGCAATTTAATTTCAAAACTTTCATTATTGATCTGGACAACAACCTTCGCGCTCACTTCACATAGAAGTGAGTTGTTCAATTAATCTAAAAGCTTCAAACCATCCTATTCTGATTATCTCATATGTGAATAATTTTTGAGATGAAACTGTATTGGGTTCCACTCCGTAAATTTCAATATACTATCACTTCAACTTGCTTATATGTGGTCACAATAATCACTCGAAGATGCAATTGGTTATCAATATTCTTTTTTACTTTTTTGTTTTGAACTTTCATCTCACCAATGAACAGTTTAATAATACCATCCTAATATTACTGTATTTTACGCTTGTATGTCTTGTTGTTTAGATGTCATTTAGGCAGTATGGCTTTTAAAAAAAAATTATTTTCATTAGATAAGAATGCAGTGTAAACATCCATATCTTCGATTATGTTTCATCACTGTCATTACCGAGCTTACTTAAATCTCTATCCATTCTTGCAGATATTGTACACTTAGACTATCCTTGGTTAATTATAACATTGCAGTTCTGATGTCTCTGTTTTTATTTACCCTTCTCTAGTTGTAGATAATTAGAATTACTCTTTAACAGTGCTTGAATTGCCTCGCCATACAGTATGCATACTTCAATGGGATATCCCAGTTATCCTACTCAAAATGTCTGATACTCAACTACTGCCTCACATTACTCTAAACCTTGTGACAAGTGTTCTCTCAAAATAACCTATGAGCAATAACTTATCAAACGTTTTAGCCTTAAATATCTGTGCTCTACATGTTGTTTTTTGTATCAACCTCATGAATTCTGTAGCTATTTCTAGAATATAATTTGAAGATGTGGATCATTTTCTTACTGATAAAGCCGATCTTTCTTCAGTAGCTAAATCCCAGGTCCGAAGGCCAACTTACTTTACTTACTTACGCCTGTTACTCCCAATGGAGCGTAAGCCAACGACCAGTATTCTCCAACCCACTCTGTCCTAGGCCTTCCTGTCTAATTCTATCCAACTTTTGTTCATTCTTCTCATGTCTGTCTCCATTTCTCGGCGTAACGTGTTCACTGGTTTTTCTCTTTTCCTTTGACCTTCAGGATTCCATGTGAGGGATTGACTTGTTACGCAGATGGATGATTTCCTCGATGTGTGTCCTATCCACTTCCAGCGCTTCTTCCTAATTTCTTCCTCTACTGAAATCTGCTTTGTTCTCTCCCACAATAGCTTATTGCTGCTAGTATCTGGCCAACGGATCCGAAATATCTTGAGTAGACAACTGGTAATAAACACCTGTATATTCTGGATGGTGGCTTTCGTAGTTCTCGAAGTTTCCATCCCATACAGTAGAACTGTCGAAGAAGCCTCTATAGTGTTGTCCTGTCAACACTATCAAATGCTTTCTCGTAGTCAATGAAGTTGATGTGGAGTGATAAATTCCGTTCAATTGATTGTTCCACAATGATCCGTAGAGTTGCGATTTGGTCTGTACACGATCGATCCGTACGGAATCCAACCTGTCGGTTCGAAGGCCAAATCAACTACTAAATTTCGTTCAGCCGGGTTCTATCGGTAGCTCACGTTCAACTACCTGGTGAATGAGTTAATTTATTTCGTTATTACATGATATTATGAAATCGGTTATACGACTATTCCCTAAAATTGTATCATAAAAACAATGAGTGCTAAGAAATTAATCTAAACATATGAACCTACAATCTATGATTTTCCGACAAATAATTTTGTCAATTAAAATTTCTTTTCTCATATTCGTTGTGTGTGTATTTCCAGATTCTAGATACACTAGGACTAAGTGTTCTAGAAACATCATACTCGGCAGATTTGTCTGATGAAATAGCCGTTACAGAACTGGCTAAATTATCATTGAATCCGAATCAGATTAAATCACAAACCTATGAAATTATGGATGATTCCAGTACACAAATTTCACAGCAATCAGAAAAATGTAGTAGTAGTCAATCGAGATTCTCCAACTTCAGTCATACTTTGTCATTTGGACCTCGTAATTTCTTGAAACGAACATCATCTGAACGATTAAAGGTAAAATCACAACAATAGTTTATAGTTTTTGTATTCAGTGGATTTTTTTGAATAAGCTGACTGTTATAGAGTTGGTTTATTCAATAAACTAATTTGTTGTTTTACCTTGAATTTCAACTGAATCTCCGTAATTCCAGTTCAGAATGACTTAAAATTTCTGTTGCTAATTCCAGATAGAATAAGCCAATATATTTAGCCGCTTCACATTTTAAAATGGTAACATCATCTCAAGGTATTTCGCAAGTAGAAGTATAGTAATAAGATGAATAATCCGGAAATAATTTCCTTTTCGGAGGAAATACACGTGAATTCCACGTTTTTACTTACATACTACACTTCACACTATGTTTTTATTATCAAATATCCTGCAGTTTAGTTTTATCAGATAGCTATCAATAGTAACGTTATTATTTTTCTTCAAGCACATATTACTACATTATGTCGTTTCGATTTCAGGATTCATTTCATGTATGGTTAATTATCCATCCTCATTTACGTTTTGCTTAACTCATCATTTGCGAAACCATCCTATTTTTTGTCAACCCCACAGTACATGGATATATATATATATATATATATATATATATAATATTCAAAATATTATATTTTTATCAAATGGAAATGTATTCTAAGCTGAAAATAGTGATAAAACTTTCAGTGATAACATGACATTTTCTCATTTCTTTTTCTACAAGTCATCTTGAAGTAGTCAATACATGTTATAGTCATAACTGATTCTCTGAGTAAAAATAAATTTATATAAAGCCAGAACAAATATTGATGCAGAATAATATGAATTCATTACATTTCGTAGTTAGCGTTTTTTTTAGCTAGTTGGTTTTCTACGGGATGAGGTCGCTAACCCCATGCCCAACCTTCCTCCTATACCCCAACTTTGGACCGGCAGTAGCCCCCAAAGAAGCTACAGGTGGATCTTATGCAGATGTGAGGGTGAGGATCGGCAAAGCAAGAGCAGCATATTTACAACTGAAGAACATCTGGAACCCAAAACAATTGTCAACCAACACCAAAATTAGAGTTTTCAATACAAATGTCAAGACAGTTCTACTGTATGGGGCGGAGGTGTGAAGAACTACGAAAGCCATCATCCAGAAAATACAAGTGTTTATTAACAGTTGTCTACGCAAGATACTTCGGATCCGATGGTCAGACACTATCAGCAACAAGCTACTGTGGGAGACAACAAACCAGATTTCATCCAGTGGAGGAAGAAGTCAGGAAAAAGCGCTTGAAGTGGATTGGGTAAAATTTGAGGAAATCACCCAATTGTGTCACAAGACAAGCCATCACATTAAATCCTGATGGCCAAAGGAAAGGAGGACGATCAAAGAACACATTACGCCGATAAATGGAGACAGACATGAGAAGAATGAACAAAAGTTGGATAGAGCTAGAAAGGAAAGCCCAGGACAGAGTGAGTTGAAGAATGCTGGTCGGTGACCTATGCTTCATTGAGGGTAACAGGCGTAAATAAGTAAGTAAGTAAGTAATATTTTGTAGTTTCTCGTCAGCTGTTTACAACCACGAAATATAATGAAATCATATTATTCTGCATCAATATTTATTGGGGTTTCATTTAACTTCATCAAGGGAACTAATTGCGTGAAATAAATGTATAACTGTTTCTTATTATTCATTGTTCAGTATCTCTGCCTTTTATGTTCATTTTATTTTTTTAAAAATCTCTATCCATACAATACATAACTATCATACCTTTTCCCCATTCACTCACTATTGATTAGTATCGCTTTTTCTGTTTCATCAAAACAATTGTGTCTGTTGACAATCAGAGTATTGTTTCCGGTTTTATAATATTCAGTCATTCTGAAGACTATAATGAGGAGATAAAACAACGTATTTCCATTTAATATTGATTAAAACTATGTCTACTTAAGTATTTCAAACAAGAAAAAAGTATTCTAATGTTTTGTCTTATGCTATTAACTGCCATTTCCATGGCAAGCAAAGATAGATAGTGGCTAGCAGCGGAATCCAGGACGCGCGTTTCGTCCTATTCGGGACTCGTCAGCTGGATGTACATGCATCTCAGAGTTGATGTTCACTGTGAGACTCAAACCCTGAGCTCGTGTGGCGCATATGTACCTGGTGCCCTTTTGTACCAATATATATGTGCTTAAATAAATAAATAAAAACCCTGAACTATTCGCTTCAAACGCCATCGCATTATCTACTCATCTACGAGTCCGAAAGTAGACATCAACTCTGAGATACAGGTACATCCAGCTGACGAGTCCCGAATAGGACGAAACGCGTGTCCTGGATTCCACTGCTAGCCACTATCCATCTTTGCTTACAATGCATGTGAATTAAGGCTATATCGAGGCAATACGCACATTATGCATATATGCCAATTAGAGACTGACCAGTTGCAGTCCTAAATATCAATGAGAAGATTTAAACAAACAATACTAAGTAAATTTGCTATTCCTATGTCTTATCTTGATAATTTTTGTAAGTATTTTCCCTTACATCGAATTACAGAACTCATGAGTTTCCAATAAACTTAATGACAGTTTTGTTCCTATCATGGTTTAAGGTGTCATTAATTGAGTTTTTGAAAGGGACGAAATTTTACTACAATTAGAGCACTAGCTCACTGGTTAAGGGAATCGATTTTCGATAACTAGGTCTCTGAATCGAGTCCTATTCTACTTATTTTGGTTTGGGTAGGTAGGTTGTATTATTATCCCTTATACTTAAAGTGTGTTTCAAAACTGAATAAATCAACTTGTAAGTGCAAGGGAGCTTTCATCTAATCGAGTTTTTTAAGTTAATTTCTCTCGTTTTACTTAATAGCTACATATTATTATTATTTTTATGAGAATCGATTCTTGTTTCATTTTAATCACCAATTGTTTTATTTTGTCTATTCCTGTTGATCTTAGTCTGCTTGTATTCCATATCATGTGGTAAGCGGTTCATATAGTTTTGTAGAAAAAGAGATATGGAAGTTCTGTCTTTTCTGTGTGTTATTACTCAACGGTCTCCATGTTCCTATTCTATCTTTTGCTATATTATATAGAAATTACTGTTGTACGCATTTCATCATTGTTATAATAGTTGGTTTTTAATAGTTTATTGTTGTTAAAGTTTCGTCAAATGTATATACTGCACATTACCATTTGCTTTTTATGAAATGATATTTTGTTTCATTTGTTGTCATTGGGTGTTAGTTAAACTAACAAATTATAAAGTTGAATAATAATAAATAATGAATGTTATTTTAGCTGGCAACTTTGACCATTCCGTTTTTTTCTTATATATCCTGAATTATCAATATTTATCTTAATTTTTGGCTTAAGTGGTTTGTGGAGATTGCTGAATACTATGTATTTCACAAACTGTCATAGGTTAGGTATGCTTTGAAAAACCACCAAACAGTTGTTTTGTCCTAATTGAGCACTTATTGACAGTGAGCATCCACAATCCTACCGAGCGATCACACTCATAACCTTCGACCTCGGCCTTCGTGTTCAAATTTTTAACCTCGAAACTATCAAACTCGTATCCACTAGTATACATATTTGACTTCAATTCCAATAAGTAGTGATTGTTTTATAAAATGCATCCGTTAACGAATTATGTTAGCAAAGATTTTGTTTTACCTACTGAAATTTGGACAGTCAAGTTTTTTTTTTTAAATTTTATAACTCGTATGCATTTGGTATGGTATGCTGAGTGCATCGCGATATTTTGGAATTGCTTAATTTGTGGTGTTTTCAGTTGCTACAATTAAATCGGTTTTATGCATATATATTTAACATCTGCTTTTCAAGTCTTCGACTCAATTTATCGATGTTTTTTGTAATGAATAGTCTTGAAATAAGGATAATTTACTGTTTGCATATCATCTTATGCTAAAAATGATGGATAATGCACCTTTTACCGTGTAATATTGTAATTGTTGTAAAATGTAAGCTTAATTAACTGTATTTAATATTTCAGATATGAATTTCCTTGTACAACTTGACTCACAATCCTAGTATCATTTGTTATTGATTCGAAAAATAATCATCATGGTTAGTAAAACAAAAAAGAAGTCGATCAGACTTGAACTTATTGACTATTCGATCATATCGGAAGCACTGGACGACCGTTTCGTCCTATTATGGGACTCCTCAGCAGTGCGCATCCACGATCCCGCAATCGCGAGATCCGAACACAGGAATTATCAGTCTAGCGTGCGAGCGCTTAACCACAATAAGAGTTAAGCAACTGTTCACCAATTGTCTTCAACGAGTTGATATCTTTACAACAGACTTGGTAGAACTCCACTGGTCACTGCTTCCCACTAGAACTCGAGGAAATATCTCTTGAAGTCAGTCACTAGTGAGCATATGATTATAGATCATGATAAAACAACCAGATTCTTTAGTCCCCTGTATATTTTCTTTTACTATGTTGAATTGAAATGTAAGACATTAGTTGAAATTTACTGGTGATTACTTTGTTGTACAAATGAATATTGGATTATATCACTGCTTAGCTTATCTACTAGTATGATGAACTTTTACTGGGAGGCTCACTTATTGACATAGAATACACCCTCGAAGTGCAAAATGTTACTCCAGGATTGGGTTGCATTGACAACTGAACTAATGATAGGGAGTGAAGTAGTTGAGCGTGTTGACCACTTCACTTATCTTGGGAGTCTCATCAGCCCTTGTGGTCTGCTGTGTGACAAAATCTCAGCATGGATACAGTAGGCTCGACTAGCTTTCATAGACTTGAGTCATTTATGGCGGAGGCGCGATATCCGTCTAGCAACCAAAGGACGGTTTTACTGCGCGGCAGTTCGTTCTGTCCTACTTTATGGCAGTGAAACATGGCCAATAAGAGTAGAGGATATTCGTGGGCTACTACTGTTCGATCATAGGTGTCTTCGACGCATTGCTGGTATATCCTGGGACCACCGAGTAAGTAATGCAGTTGTTAGGAAACGAGTACTAGGTAAGGGTGGTAAATCGATTGATGAAGTAGTGGAACTTCATCAGTTGAGATGGCTGGGACACGTGTTACGTATGCCCAACCACCGACTGCCCCGACGTGCAATGTTTTATAGTGTAGGAGTAGGTTGGAAGAAATCTAGGGGTGGCCAGACCAAAACGTGGCACAAATCCATGAAGTCACTGACAAGTGGACTGAGCCATGTTGGTTGGTATAAACTACCTGATTGGGATGTGCGAGATGATAACAATCGATGGTTAGGGACCTTGAATGACATGGCTCAAATTCGTTTGCAATGGCGAAAGTGCATACACTCTTTGTGTTCTACCAAATTCTAATTCTCCGAATTCCTCATGTCCCTATCCTTTTTCTCTTTTCAGATTTATTTCACTGGATTATACTTCTTCAATAACATCTTCAAACCCTTATCTTTCACATAATAATTATATTCTTACTACTTCCACCATTATGGGATTTGAATCGACAACTGCATCTCTGTGCTAATGTGGTATGGCAACTCGAACTGATGTACGTACATACAAAGTTCCACGTTGTAACTGACTGATTGACTAGTTTGATGATCTTGTTTTCTGATATACACAAAATTGTTAAAACCTTTGAAATTTTCCTAAAATCTGTTAAATGAATTCATTCGGACATATTAAAAACAGTTTATATTAAATCAATGAATTAGTTACATTATTTAAACAATAGCTGTCATTAAGATCTTGTCAAATCTTCCATTACATGTAAAAGTACATTGTGATTATCATTGCATAATTGTTTTGGTATTTAAGTAAGCTCTAATACAATATAAAATTTAAAAAAATTATTTTCAGCCAATGGTAAATATGACTATATTACTATCACTGGTTAATTTAACCTAATTGAATTTTTGACCTTTCTTTAAATCTGTTGTTCCTAATTGTCATGTTAGTAAAGGTGTTCTTTCGAAGAAGAAACATCTATGATCCTAACTTTTCTGTCGCGTTAATATGGACAGTCGTAAAAAACCGCCTTTTTTCAATTTTATTTATTTATTTAAACACATGAATATTGGTACAAAGGGGCACCAGATACATATGCACCACACATATCTCATTTGATTTATGTGAGGGCTGTGATACTGCCTGGGTGGCCAAACCAAGGCAGGTGGTTTTCCTGGGGGGCCACACACGGAGCCTTCGACCTAAAGATCCGATCCACAAGGCAGTGGAGCACCGTAAGGAGATGGTAGCCGGTAACCAACGATTGGTTCATACGACATTTGTTCTCTCAGGATACTGGAGCCCATGTGCACCATTTGTTTGGAATCAGGGTTTTGCAACTCCCCTAGGTGTACTCGCCGTGTCCACCAACCCGGTTAAAGCGCCGGACATTGTCTTTTCGTCCTCCCAATTTCGTAAACAACACCCTTGGTGTGAGAAGGCAGTGAGTAGGACTTTGCTGGCAGAGGCTATATACGCGTGACCATATAAGAGCATTTCGAGAGAGAGAGAGAGAGCTAATTCTCCCCACTCTTAGCCGTACCTGGGCATTTTTAAATATCAATTGACGTAATACTTATACATATTTATCCCCTTTTCAGAATATAATATTGGCTGTCAACCAAGTAATATACATATTGGTCTTTTTAGAAGTTTTAAATTTCAGACTAAATTGAGAGGGTTTTAATTTTGAATGTTTTTAGTTTTGTTAACGTGTAAGAAATACATATTATTCTTGTTATTCGTTTTCCGGATTATTTAATAGTCTTCTCTTACTTTCCTCTCCAATCAGAGAATTTACTACCGAGCTCGTTCATAGGATGATTGTATTCCGGATTTTTAAATCAATTAACATTCGTTATAATGTTCTATTACTGATTCACTTTAATACTACAATAATAAACATGACCATTAGCAAGAACTGAATAATTTGTATTACTATCGTTTAGAATCAACTACTAAGTTCTATAAGTGACAGTTGAAATCCTTTCATACAATCCAATTGTAAAGAACATTCTTGATTATAATATTAAATTAATTACAATTGTATTTTCGATCGTGTGTAATTTTAGTCTCTTATTGACTTATCTCTTATATATTCTGGGAATTGCTTTCTCAAGTTGTTTAATAATCTTGGTGTATGTATCAGTAGTTTTACTGTACATCGTGTTGTCGCTTATGATATATGTTGATATTTTTCCTGTGTAGTTTTCTTTCCTATACATAAAATAGTTCATGGTTTATTTAACTAATTTCTTTTAATCCAATACTGTATTATCATAGTCATCTCATTTGCTGTTCATTAATGTATGAACCAATAATTTGTGCTCATAATCCTTGCACTCCTCTACTTATTTCGTAAACTCACTGTCTTAATTATATATCTATTTACTATGGGCGCTATCATCAAACGCGATTCTTCTCCGAATTGATGTTTTTTTTTTTAAATTTATGTTTTTCACTTAGAATTTTAAAGCAAATCATCGAGCAAATGATGTGATTACTACAACTGGATCTACACCACTTATCACAGGTCGATTTACTTTTGGTGGATTGGATTTGATGAGTTTTTCTTCTGAAAAAGTAATTTATATATATATATATATATATATATATATATATATAATCTTTATTTACCATTTAAACTTACTATTATTATCCAGTATGTTTTACTAATACAAGCGTTAGTAGAATCATCAATCATTCTCAATGTAACATTCCAACCCTTCCTTATAGACCAGTAGACTTTATCGCTTCTAACTGATTAAAAAAGGTACTGGTAAAATTTTAATATTCACTTCTTTATCGAACACACTTCTTGTAATTATATTAAGGTAACCTAAATGTAACATATCATGAATCCTTTAATTCTAGAGATCTTAGTCTCCATGAATCAGTTGACATGGGCACTCGTTATTAAGGTTCTATTGACTGTTTTTGTTGATAATCATAATTTTAATTCTTACGGATAGGTGGATTGTTGCATCCCGAAGAGAATTGTGAATGGTAACTTTTGAGGACTATTTGTGGACTAATGTAATATGTATATTTCGTATTGTATAATTGTTAAGTAACTAACCTAATAATATTCGTGTTCCTCTTATCATTAGCTTTATTTTGACCTTTGAACTACTGTTATACGATTCTTGAGTTATTATTTGTTTATTGATTACTTCCCCCCTATTTACAGCCACATTTGGCTAAATATTGTACAAATGTTATTTTTTATTTTATGGTACGATGTGGTCTGTTTGGTTGGTTTATAAACCCAGTACGTTTGTGAATAATGATTCATACCACAGAGCCTGTTATTAGTGTTTTGGATTAAACTGGATGAGCTAGGCAGAAGCACGATCGATAAGCGGTTTAGACTGCTCGTGCGGTTTCATGTGTCACTGTTCCGATCATTAATTCGCTGCTCCCTGTTTGGCGGTCTTATCAAGTCATACGTTAGCATGACATCCACTCGACCGCAAGATGTAACATGGATGAATAAACAGCAACTAATATACATGAAATATATCTAGTTATTCTTGTCAATTATACAACTTATCCCAGTTTGTTAAAGTGTTTTGAAAATCGAGATCGTACTTAAATTGTGATCACAAGATTCTTAGGAGAATTTCAATACATTTTCACTGGATGCATAGTTTGTAAAGTCTCCTTTTTGATTACAAAAAGTATTGTTGTTGAAATTACACTGAATGCAGTCCTAGTTAGTTTTATATATGATTTCATTTGCCGATTTACTAAGTCTTACAAAACTGGAAGGTATCTCATAGCCAATAACTGACTAATCAGTTAATATTAAATAAAACACTTTTAAGTAAGGATAATTCCTTTACAATTGTTTATTTACATTTCTATCCATTACTTTCATACTTTTATATAAATAATTTGTAGATCCGAGTTGAAATTCAATCAATTAGTGGATCTTGGGCATATGTATGCACAGAAGTAACTGATTCTTCTGGACGAATCCGATTCTCTTTACCAGAGCAAATTCATCTCCCAGATGGACTATATCCTATTAAAATGACCGCTGAATCTGATCCTGATCATCCAGTAATTATTACATTAGCTATAGTACCTCCTCAAACTGAGGTAGTGGTATTCAGTGTAGATGGAAGTTTTGCAGCAAGTCTATCTCTGATGGGAAAAGTAAGTTTATTATAGAAAAATGACATAGTTAACTGTAGTGCTGTTGATAAGTGTATGATTACTTTTTACTGCTCACGTAATATTTCCTGATATTCAACTTTCTTTGTGAATTATCATTCTTTTTTCGATAATCCCATAACATATCTCTGATACCACACTCTTCCCCATCAAGTTACACACGATGGTCATACCGATATAACTCATTACAATTGGAGCTATTTCTTCTAATATATAGCGTTGGGGGATGACACAAGGTTGATTAGCTTTTCATTGCAATTTATTCGAGGTATCTTGATACTAATACTGATAACAGCTCTTACTTACTTACGCCTGTTACTCCCAATGGAGCATAGGCCGCCGACCAGCTTTCTCCAACCCACTCTGTCCTGGGATTCCTTTTCTAGTTCTATCCAGTTCTTGTTCATTCTTCTCATGTCTGTCTCCATTTCTCGGCGTAACGTGTTCACTGGTTTTTCTCTTTTCCTTTGACCTTCAGGATTCCATGTGAGGGCTTGTCTTGTGACACAATTAGCTGATTTCTTCAAGGTGTGCCAAATCCACTTCCAGCGCTTCTTCCTGATTTCTTCCTCTGCTGGAATCTGGTTTGTTCTCTCCCACAGTAACTTATTGCTGATAGTGTCTGGCCATCGGATCCGAAGTATCTTGCGTAGACAGCTGTTGATGAACACTTGTATCTTCTGGATAATGGCTTTCGTATTTCTCCACATCTCCGCCCCATACAGTAGAACTGTCTTGACATTTGTATCGAAAATTCTAACCTTGGTGTTGGTTGACAATTGTTTTGAGCTCCAGATGCTTTTCAGTTGTAGGTATGCTGCTCTTGCTTTGCCGATCCTCACCCTCACATCTGCATCTGATCCACCGTGTTCATCAATGATGCTGCCCAGATATGTAAAGGTTTCCACATCCTCCAAAGCTTCTCCGTCAAGTGTAATTTGATTGGTGCATATTGTATTGTATCGAAGAGTCTTGCTTTTCTCTTTGTTTATATTGAGACCTACTGCTGCTGAGGCTGCTGCTACACTGGTCGTTTTCTCCTGCATTTGTTGTTGCGTTTGTGATAGAAGAGCCAGATCATCCGCGAAGTCTAGATCGTCGAGCTGCATCCTGCCTGTCCACTGTATCCCGTGCTTTCCTCCAGATAATGACGTCTTCATGATCCAGTCGATTACCAGGAGAAAGAGAAAGGGTGAGAGTAAGCAACCTTGCCTCACACCGGTCTTTACTTCAAACGAGTCGGTGAGTTGTCCTCCGTGGACGACTTGGCAGTTTAGCCCATCATAGGAGTTCCGTATGATATTTACTATCTTCTCAGGCACGCCGTAGTTTCGAAGAAGCTTCCATAGTGTTGTTCTGTCCACGCTATCAAATGCCTTCTCGTAGTCGATGAAGTTGATGTAGAATGATGAATTCCATTCGATTGATTGTTCCACAATGATCCGCAGAGTTACGATTTGATCTGTGCACGATCTATCTTTACGAAATCCAGCTTGTTGATCTCAAAGTTGGGCGTCCACGGAATCCTTCATCCTGTTTAACAATACTCGGTTGAAGACTTTTCCTGGTATTGAGAGAAGAGTGATGCCCCTGTAGTTATCGCACTTGCTGAGATCGCCTTTCTTTGGTATCTTGATCAGAAGTCCTTTTTTCCAGTCTGTTAGTACTTGTTCTTCGTCCCAAATCTTACTGAAGAGGATGTGTAGTATCTTGGCAGTTGCTGTCACATTTGCTTTCAGTGCCTCTGGCGGGATGTTGTCTGGTCCCGCTGCTTTGCCACTCTTGACTTGTCTAATGGCCATGCTGATCTCTTCAATTGTTGGTGGGCCAAAGTCGATTGAGAGGTCCGTGGGTTCTGCTTCGATGTTGGGTGGGTTCAGTGGGGCTGGTCGATTCAAGAGTTCTTTAAAGTGTCCTACCCACCTGTTTCGTTGTTCTTCAATGTTGGTGATTACTTTGCCTTCCTTGCTTTTCACTGGTCGTTCTGGCTTACGGTAATTTCCAGCAAGTTTCTTTGTTGTATCATACAATTGTCTCATGTTTCCCTCTCTTGCAGCCTTTTCCGCTGTCGTTGCTAAATCTTCAACATATTTACGTTTGTCGGTTCTGATGCTCCTCTTCACTTGCTTGTTTGCCTCTGTGTATTCGGCTTGTGCCTTGACTTTTTCCGCTCTTGTTCTGCTGATATTGATTGCTGCCTTCTTGTTTCTTCTTTCTTCAATCTTATCCAGTGTACCAACAGTGATCCATTCCTTATGATGGTGCTTCTTTTGGCCCAGAACCTCCTGACATGTTGAAACGATTGCCTCCTTGATACCTTTCCAGTTACTCTCCATGGTAGTCCCCTCTCCATTGAGTAGGTCATGAAAGGCCTGGAACCTGTTGTTGAGAGCTATGTTGAATTTGTTGAGTTTGTCAGCATCTCGAAGAAAGGCCGTATTAAACTTTTGTGATGTTGTCCGCGCCGTTGTCCAGTGCTTCTTGAGTTTTAGTTTGATCTTGGCGACCAGCAAATGATGATCGGATGCTATATCAGCTCCTCTTCTGGTTCTCACATCCTCCATCGTCCTCCTGAACTTTTTGTTGATGCAGATATGGTCGATTTGATTCTGTGTAGTGTGATCGGGTGAAATCCAAGTGGCTTTGTGTGTTTTTGTGTGGAAATATGATGCCACCTATGACCAGTTTATTGAAGGCACATAGGTTTGCAAATCTCTCACCATTTTCGTTCCTTCCTCCCAGTCCATGTTGTCCCATGACGTCTTCGTATCCAGTGTTGTCCATTCCAACCTTAGCATTTAGATCTCCCATCAGAATTGTCAGGTCCTTGGTTGGGCACTTCTCGACGATCAACTGCAGCCTATCGTAGAATTGGTCTTTAGCGTCTTCATCGTAGTCATTGGTAGGCGCATAGCATTGGATGACGTTCATTGTAATGCCCTCTCTCTTTGTTCTGAAGGAGGCTTTGATGATCCTTGGTCCATGAGATTCCCATCCAATAAGTGCATTTTGTGCTTTTCTGGACAGCATCAATGCAACTCCTTGTGTATGTGGGGCATTTTCTTCTTCATGACCGGAGTATAACAGAAGTTCTCCTGAAGACAGTCGCTGTTGTCCAACCTGCGTCCAATGTGTTTCGCTGATTCCAAGAACCTCCAGGTTGTATTTTCTCATTTCTGCAGCAATTTGGAAAACTCTTCCGGTCTCCCACATCGTTCGGACATTCCATGTACCTATAAAAATTGTTGCTCTGGTTGTAAGAAGGTGCATCGGCCTCATGACTTCCGAATGAACTCGGCTTTCATCATGAGACGTCATAATTATTCCTTCTACTCCCAGGGCAGAGTTTGAAAGGTTTGAATGATTTTTTCTGGTTATCGTTTTTTTAGCGAGTTGATTTTCTACGGGAAGGGGTCGCTAACCCCATGCCCAACCCTCCTCCTTCACCCGGGCTTGGGACCGGCAGTAACCCCCAGAGGAGCTACAGGCGGAGTTGATAACAGCTCTATTCAATGCTATAGCGTTTGTTACAGTTCAGAATTTTCCTTACTAGTTGGTCAATATTACAACAAATATCTCTTTCGCATGGATTCAAATCGTAATTATTGAAAACATATTTCAAAAACGATTTTTAACAGTCAGTATTTCCGACAGTCTTACATCGCTAAATTTTTTAATAAGTCCAACTTGTACAACCAATTTTCCATTCATCATCCATAAGATGTTTAATTTCCAATATTTTTGTCTCTCGCTTTTTCAAGGGATAGTTAGTATGCAAAATATACCAAGAACTGTAGCGTTTCGATTAACCTTTTCCAGTAATTCAGATCCCGATAGTTTGTAACTTTTTTATAATATAGCGTGAGCACGCACAATCAGGATTTGTCATTGCTCACTTCAAAGGATTCAAAAACATTTAGTTTAATCGAAATATTTTCACAGTTGGAAAGTAGAGGGATAAAATGCTTGAACTGGCGGCCTTAGCGGATACTAAAACATGGAACTTTTCACGATTTTTCGTTTCATCTTTACTATTCTTCCCATTCTTAGTATACGTACTAATAGCTGTCGATCCATCCCTTCACATTCTATACGATAATCAATACAGCCTACCTAAATATGACAATCTCATGAAATTAAAACACAGATTTCAGCGAAGGGATCTCTTTTCAACGAATTTATTATCAAGCTGTACAATCGTATATATATATATATATGAAAATGTTTTGTTAAAGTACTAATTCCGTGAGGAAATGTGAACACTAATAACCAAGATTATAATACTGGATTACGTAATATGAATAACAACAATAGATTTAGTGAATATAGTAAGACGGATAAAATGTTTTGGTTACAATAATTAAAGGTCATTAAAGGTCATAGAGGTGTAAAATAAATAAATAAATAAATAAGGTGATGAGTATTCATGAATAAAATAATGAGAATATAAAACATAAGTAAAGGGGGAATGGAGTAATAATAATAATAAAAGAATGATAATAATAATAATAATATTAAGGCCATGGTAACGATAATGATAAAACGTACTTCTTTTGTACGCATAGTTCTGGTTTGAGCTCATGGATGGTAAGAGCTTCGGCTATTTTTAAAAGTTTGATCCGAAGAAATCTTGGTAGATTTGAACGAATCATATAAACAACCTTAAAATCAGACTGTGGATTCGTCGAATGATTACAGTCGATTAGGTGTTCGAGTATAGAACTTCGAACTGCTTTCTTTCCACCATTGTAGAACCAAGCTGGTATATGTTCTCGTATCCGGGTTGAAAGCGAGCGCTGGCTACGGCCGATGTACCTCGCTCCACAAGAGCAGGTGAACTGGTAGATGCACATGGAGGCGACCAAACGCGGAAGCTTATCTTTTATGGATACAGAAATTAAGTTCTTACTGGTGAAGGTTATTCGTAGTTTTGCAGCGTTAAATGTCCTTTTAATCGTTGTTGTTAAACGATTTTTAATTATGTCTGATGTTCGATCACCTTTAAATTCCAGACTTATATAAAGGCTTTTCTTTGGCACTGAATAACTAGGATTCTTACCGACGCTACTTCTGTTCATATTCTTTTCTATGAACCGGTCTGGGTAGCCATTTTTCAACAAAGTTTTTTTGAGGAACGCTAGTTCTTCGTTGATGCATTCTGTACTACATATCCGATGTATACGATAGCATAAAGAATGAATCAAGTTTCTCTTTCTAATTAATGGAACCCAGCTGTAGAAGTTGGTTAGTTGACCGTTCCATGTTTGCTTTCTAAAGATAGATCTTTTTAAAAAACCATTGCTTCTTCTCAATAGATGTACATCAAGAAAAGAGATTGATTGGTCTCTCTCTCTTTCTAATGTAAAGTCTATGGAAGGGTGGCATGAGTTGAAGAAGTGTAAGATATTGTCCAAATCAATATTATCGTCACAAACGACAAATGTGTCGTCCATGTATCTTACATATAGTTGAAATCGACTTATCATTGAACTGAGTTGATCGTTTTCTAGTTTTGCCATGAAGCAGTCTGCTAGAATTGGACCTAAAGGAGATCCCATTGCGATCCCATCTCTTTGTCTATATATTTCATTGTTGAAACTGAACTGGACATTAAAGGTACAACGTAACAATAATTCTTTTAAGTGTTCAGTTGGAATACCTAGAACTATGTTGTTGGAGTCTATATACTCACAAATATAACATATAGTTTCCGTTAACGGTACACTAGTGAATAAAGAATTAACATCAAGTGAGAACATGTGTTTTCCGGAAGTATTAACATCCTTAATACGATCAATAAATTGAAAAGTATCATGAATAGAATATTTAGATACTTGCCTTCTAACTGGTTCCAATTTTTCAGCTAACCATTGGGCTATTCGGTTATATTTGTTATGTTATATTTGTGAGTATATAGACTCCAACAACATAGTTCTAGGTATTCCAACTGAACACTTAAAAGAATTATTGTTACGTTGTACCTTTAATGTCCAGTTCAGTTTCAACAATGAAATATATAGACAAAGAGATGGGATCGCAATGGGATCTCCTTTAGGTCCAATTCTAGCAGACTGCTTCATGGCAAAACTAGAAAACGATCAACTCAGTTCAATGATAAGTCGATTTCAACTATATGTAAGATACATGGACGACACATTTGTCGTTTGTGACGATAATATTGATTTGGACAATATCTTACACTTCTTCAACTCATGCCACCCTTCCATAGACTTTACATTAGAAAGAGAGAGAGACCAATCAATCTCTTTTCTTGATGTACATCTATTGAGAAGAAGCAATGGTTTTTTAAAAAGATCTATCTTTAGAAAGCAAACATGGAACGGTCAACTAACCAACTTCTACAGCTGGGTTCCATTAATTAGAAAGAGAAACTTGATTCATTCTTTATGCTATCGTATACATCGGATATGTAGTACAGAATGCATCAACGAAGAACTAGCGTTCCTCAAAAAAACTTTGTTGAAAAATGGCTACCCAGACCGGTTCATAGAAAAGAATATGAACAGAAGTAGCGTCGGTAAGAATCCTAGTTATTCAGTGCCAAAGAAAAGCCTTTATATAAGTCTGGAATTTAAAGGTGATCGAACATCAGACATAATTAAAAATCGTTTAACAACAACGATTAAAAGGACATTTAACGCTGCAAAACTACGAATAACCTTCACCAGTAAGAACTTAATTTCTGTATCCATAAAAGATAAGCTTCCGCGTTTGGTCGCCTCCATGTGCATCTACCAGTTCACCTGCTCTTGTGGAGCGAGGTACATCGGCCGTAGCCAGCGCTCGCTTTCAACCCGGATACGAGAACATATACCAGCTTGGTTCTACAATGGTGGAAAGAAAGCAGTTCGAAGTTCTATACTCGAACACCTAATCGACTGTAATCATTCGACGAATCCACAGTCTGATTTTAAGGTTGTTTATATGATTCGTTCAAATCTACCAAGATTTCTTCGGATCAAACTTTTAAAAATAGCCGAAGCTCTTACCATCCATGAGCTCAAACCAGAACTATGCGTACAAAAGAAGTACGTTTTATCATTATCGTTACCATGGCCTTAATATTATTATTATTATTATCATTCTTTTATTATTATTATTACTCCATTCCCCCTTTACTTATGTTTTATATTCTCATTATTTTATTCATGAATACTCATCACCTTATTTATTTATTTATTTATTTTACACCTCTATGACCTTTAATGACCTTTAATTATTGTAACCAAAACATTTTATCCGTCTTACTATATTCACTAAATCTATTGTTGTTATTCATATTACGTAATCCAGTATTATAATCTTGGTTATTAGTGTTCACATTTCCTCACGGAATTAGTACTTTAACAAAACATTTTCATATATATATATATATACGATTGTACAGCTTGATAATAAATTCGTTGAAAAGAGATCCCTTCGCTGAAATCTGTGTTTTAATTTTAATGTTTAAATGGGAATTATATACCAATCTCATGAAAATCACTCTGTAATTCGAGGATACCTATGCTAATCCAAAACTTTAACATTTTTGAAGGTAAAATTACTACTTTTCCTGCAAAGATTACAGAGAAGGCTTCTGAAGTAGAGTTAAGCGAAGTTGACTAACTAAAAGTCGTAATTATTGCTTTATATACTTGACCTATGAAAGAAGACCTATTTTGAGTATACCTTTCGTAACAGGAATCTATATTTTCTATTGGGTGTAAATCATGTCTTTATGTTTAGGCAGTGGTCTGAATTCGTAGTTGACTGATCACTGAATAGTGAGTTGTATCATGCTGGTCTAGTCTTTAGTGACGCTCGAATTCTATCGACCAAGTTAGAATGCGGCCTCTCGTCTAAGCGACCAAACATGTGTCGTGCTGTGATGCTAGTTAGTTATAAGTAGTCGAATGGACACTGGATCTGCTTCATACTATTCAACACTCGTCTAGTCACATAGACTAGTGGTCGGTTACAGGTTAATCGATAAAACAGGTTGTTAGAATTGACCTGGTCAGTAACCTGTATTCTTAAACATATTTCTAATCGAAAAGTTGAATAGATTCAGATTTTTTCTCACCTTTTCCTTTCCTTTTTCGTTTTTTTTTTGTAAAAGAGACTTGTTGAAATATTTCGTGCTGAGAATTATATATTGTACCAAAATATAATATTGAATAAAACCATTAGTAATATTAATAACAAAATTCTGTCAGCAAAAAGTGACGACAAGAACATGATATTAGTCGCTAGTCAGTGATCAATCAGTTGTAAATACATCTCAGTCCTACAGAATGTCAGTTGGTGCCCGAATGGCTCAATGAGAAGGTCTCTGGCTGTGAATCCGAGTGACAGTATCGAATCCATTAGGGATTCCCATTTCTTTCAGGACTACAGATACATTTTGCTGACGAGTGGCAAATATCATGAAACATATCCCGACTTTTATATTGATTACCTCTAGCCACCTTATGGGTCTGAATTTGTTTTTTATTTTTCGGCAACTCCAAATCTTAGGACCAAGTATCCATATTATATGCAAACAGCAATGATTATATCAAAGTTTTTTGACGTTCTCTTGTCATTGTGTGTAGCTACTTTTTCAGGAATCGTACAGTCGCCGTTAAGTTTTATTGTAAAATACATTATTCCAATTTGTGATGTTCTGTCTCAGTCATTCGTTCCGTATGCATCCACTATGGATTTCAGTTTTATTTGTCCCCATTTCTCATACAGTTGGTTGTCATCGAGATTATTCCCAGAGAAGTATTACCCAATATCATAAATCTTACCTACACTTACTGTGTTGTATGAAGCATCAAAATAAGTAACTTCACTGTAAATTCTTATCAGTTTTTTTTTTACATTTTTTCACATGAAATACAAAATTTAGTTTAATTGATAACAATACCGTACAAATGTCATTGGAGAACCATTGTCAAATTAACCTGCTGATAAGTGTCTATGTGCAACGTTGTTTGATAATTCTAACCATTAAACTTGTATTTGATGGGTCAGTATATAATTTTTTTCTTATCGTATTCATTTTTTTTGTAGGATCCGAAAGTTCATCCTGGTGCTGTAGATGTTGCTCGTCACTGGCAAGGATTAGGATATTTATTAATCTATTTATCTGCACGACCAGATATGCAAAGACGTCGGGTTACAAATTGGATGGCAAATCATAATTTTCCTTTTGGGATGACTTTCTTCTTAAATGGATTATATTCAGATCCACTGAAACAGAAAGCTCAAATGTTAAAGACAGTTGTTGAAAATGTATGCATTCTATCTTCCTGTTTCATTTTGTTGTTTGTATTTTTTTTTCATACATTGCATAAAGATCGTATTAGTTCTTTGTCTCACTCTCTTCTAGAAATCATCCATTCCGTAACTCATTTAGAAATAGACTTCTTTAGCACTTGTACTGAAATTTACTCTCTGTATATGTATTTTTTTTATTTTCGTTAGTTGTCGCCTTATGTTATATGATTTGTACTATAGCTAATAGTAGTGTATCTCTTAAGTTTGGAACGACTATTGAAGATTCTGAACGGTACAAAAATTTGTTTGCATATCTTTAATAGCTACTGTCTTCAATTGTTCAAATTCGATGTAATTTCTGTGAATTCACCTGAGCCCTATGGTTATACTTCAAATAGTTAAAAGTAGGTACTCAGTTGTATATAGAGTTTTCCGAATTACTACAACAATACATATGTTGGTATTTTATTTTAAATATGCCAAAAATCAACTTTCAGGTTAAATTGTAGTTACCACTTGGAGAGAAGGTAAATTAGTGAAATATAAATCACCTCAGATCCATAACTTTCACAGTTTGGTCTACCTTTTCAAACATTACAGTATTTTTTGAAATGCAACCACACCCTTGAGTGAGAAAAGAAGCAGCTGCATTCCATCTATCTTCACATTCTCTAGTAATTAGTTATTTATGGTTTGGAATGGCGTAGGTGTACACAATCTTTATCTTCTCTTAAACCAGAAGATTAAAATTGCTTCATAACTTCCTTCCTTCCTATACTATATCCTATCTTTTATATACTACCACCACTAAATTAACTATTTCTATGAATCCGGTTTTCATCTTGTTGTGCTAACGAGGTATGGCAACTTGGACCGATGCATAAATGTGCCTGGTCCTACGTTGTACCTGACTGACTTGTTTTGAATTATATTTTCATCAGTTTTTAGTTTGAATCCTTTGTGTTGTGGTAGACTGATAGGTTTTATGTCTCTTAGCATATTCAAAAGCACGTTACCTCTTGCATTAGTCAATAGTTTAACAGTGCATATATACTTGACCCAGACGTTGTCTATTGATTGGGTGTATTTAGCAGTTAAAACAAAGCAAATCATGAGACTATGTTATTCCGCTTGATACTCACATTTCATTCCTTAACTAACAGATACCAGTCCACATTATAAACTTTCTCTATAGCTTTTTCCTTTAAAGTATCACAGTCTTGTAAAACGAAATTATATTGTTGTGAACAGAACACTAGTTGAGACCATCGAATGTATTTAAGCAAAAATTACAGACTATCTCACTAAATTCTGATAACCATACAATGAACAGTTAATTTGCAAAAGAACAAGCAATTGTCTCAATCTTCACTGTTCCTTCTGTAAATATTAGTTCATCTTCTCTAATTTTATTGTTCATGCATTTTCTCACCAATTACGCTTCATTTCAGTTCTTTCTTTATCAATCTTCTGCCAAAATACATTCTATGTCTGACCATCACCATAAACTACTCATATGGTTATAAGTAGACCACACTACAATATTAGATTTTAGTTAAGCACTAATTACCGTGTCATTCTTTATTTTCTTTCTTGTAGATAATATACAACTGTGTTTTTCATAATTAAAGTTAATTCTGTCAATATAATAGAAGTTAATTATCATTGACGATCATTTTGTTTACCAATTAATCATTTTTTTCCTTTCATGAATTAAATGTTAGGCAAATTTACGAGTTCATTGTGGTTATGGATCAGGTAAAGATATCAATTTATATCGTTCTCTTGGTTTATCAACCCAAAACATCTTTCTAGTTGGCAAAGTCTCTCGAACACAAGCATCAAATGGAACTGTAATTTTATTTATAATTTTTTTGTTTCATATAATTTTATTATTATTAGTTGGGGTTTTGTGGAGATTTAGTATTTTCATAGTTGAAAGCGTGAGTCAATTGAAGTTAGACCACCAGGGAAAACCTAGAAACACTAGATGGCCGTTTCGTCCTATTGTGACATAAACACCACCGGATGCCAGCTCAGTGGTCTATCAGTTAAGTGCTCTGGCGCGAGACTGGTTGGTCCCGGTTTCCAATCTCGAAAGGCGGGATCGTGGATGCGCACTGCTTAGGAGTCCCGCAATAGGACGAAACGGCCGTCCAGTGCTTCCAGGCTTTCAATGGTGGTCTAGCTTAAATTGACTCACGCTTTCATATAATTTTATTTGTTTCTTATAATTTTGTTAACTGTTCAATTTATTCTCCATTACTGTGGTAGGTCACTCATCTTGCATACACTCGGTTACTTTCTAACATAATGATGTGTATAAATTCTTTTAAATCAATTAACTATTCTGTTTGCATCCTTAAGATTTGAGAATAAACATGTATACCTTAAAGGTAATGGATATTTTCCTGCAGTTTATAGTAAGTTCGAGATGACGATAAAAATGAGCAAAGCATATCCATCTGTATTTAGTAATTCCATGTTCGCAAATTCATTCTAAGTACTATTTTGTGACTTTGTTGTACCTCACCGTGGTACAGTTTTTTATGTATTAAGCTCGTCAGCAACTGTGATGAACGCACTACCTTGAGATCTTCGGCTTGCAAAAGGTTCATTTATTCTGAATCAATTACAGAATTCACTTATATTGGCTTAAAAAGCCAAGAACTTTAAATAATAGCTTCAATTATACCAAGTATAACTTGACGAATTTTTGATATAGAGAGATTTGTTTTAACTGTTTGATATCAGTGAATGAGTAAAGCTCAGCTACGCAAATAAGGGGTCTTTGAACCCAAAATATTTGAATTTACCCCTAAGAAGCCTAAGGTTAGTCCTATTGGAGGTTTTGGATAAGCAGCACACAGCTCTGAGACGAGGTGATCAAAATTACTTTCAGTACAGACTAGAATAAAAGGTCAAAGTCCGAATTCATCCCAGATCTAACTTTAAGGAATCTATGTTATGGACTCGTAATAAGTTTTGCAGCGGATAAATAGTTGGAAATTTCGCCACATAGTTTTTTTCATTATTTTGGAGATATATGTAGGCTCACAATTTTGCAAGATGTTTTTATATTCGGGTTCGAAACGGTATTTTTGACATGGCTTTTTAGAGGCTGTGGTAGATTCCTGTTTCCATGAACAATATAAAATTTTGGTTGAAGTAACGGAATTTGGATGTGATTCCCTTTTGTATTTATTTAAAATATATAAATATTAGTACAAAGAGGCACCAGATACCTATGCTCCACACAAGTCACTTGGTTTATGTGTGGGCTATGATACTGCCCGGATGCTCAAACCGAAGTAGATAGTTTCCTTAGGGAGCCACACCCGGAGCCTTTGACCTAAAGGTCTGATCCACAAGGAAGTGGAGCAACGTAAGGAGATGCAGCCACATGGTAGTCAGTGACGAACGATTTGTTTCCTTAGGATCCTGGAGTCCATGTAGACCATTGGTTTGGAACCAGGGTTTTCGAACACACCTAGGTGGTTCCCCCATATCCACCAACCCTGTTAAAGCGCCGGACATTCGCTTTTCGTCCTCTTAATTTCGTAAACCTTAAGGGAGTTTATGGTTAAACGAATCGTCTATGTGTATCTATATTATTCAGTTTTTTAACCTTATCATTAATCCTGATCATTTAATAGATTTTCTGTAAGTTTAGTTATGTCCACAGCTAACAATCTCAATATTTCAGTTTACATGTTTATTGAATTCGAACATGTATTGGGGTTTATGACTAACAACTGAACTCAATGTGCTTTGATGTCATAATAATTATCTGATTTATTGTACTACATGTGTATGTTTTTTTCCCTATTATTTCAGCCATTATCACAAGGATATTCGTCGCACTTATCTTCATTAATCAATGGTCATACTTTATCTAGACCTGCTATTGGATCAATGAGTGTAGCAGTGCGTTGTTGTCCTTTTGATTTACCATCAGTTTATCCTTCATCACCTTTATTAATGGAATCTAATTTGCTTCGAAACAATTCTTTTAAATTTTCACCTCAATTAAGTCAACGATTATTATTTAATGATGAAATAGATCAGAATACATTGTAATATTCCTAATACTTATTATCTTATTCAAGTCATTCATCATTCATGTAAGCTTCAATGTTATAAATAGATGAGAAATTCAAACTATTTTTTAGAGTCCAATTATTTGGGTTTTTTTGTATATTGATCAAATAATTTTACCCTTATTTTCATTTATACTATATCATTTCAATTTTTTTGTTGTGAAAACCTTTCAGTTTAATTCTGACAAAGGTTTCCCATTTGTTTGTCACTAACAAAAACATTAACCCTAGAACTTTTATCTTGTAAATCTTCGTTTTAATTCGATGGCTTGGGACCGGCAGTAACCCCAGGAGGAGCTACAGACGGAGTTGGGCTGGAGAATGCTAGTCGATGGCCTATGCTCCATTAGGAGTAACAGGTGTAAGTAAAAGATCATTACACAACTACGTTGCTCCTTTCCAAATTTTGTTGATATAAGATGATGTATCCATGCTTACCAATTTATTAAGAGAATATAATCTTTTCACTAACAAAAACATTAACCCTAGAACCTTTATCTTGTAAATCTTTGTTCTTTTTTCGATGTTTCACATATTGTTTTTAATTTTACATTCTTTACATATAACTTACATACTCGTCATTCACTTGAAAATTAGAAATTATTCAAAGGTCGTAATCATTCCTCATCGTCATCTTGTATTGTATTAATTAAGTGCATATATATTACACAACTGGTTAGCGTTTTTTTAGCGAGTTGGTTTTCTACGGGATGGAGTCGCTAACCCCATGCCCAACCGTCCTCCCTTACTCGGGCTTGGGACCGGCAGTAACCCCCAGAGGAACTACAGCCGGAGTTGGGTCGGAGAATGCTGGGAGTAACAGGCGTAAGTAAGTAAGTAAAAAAATATTACGCAACTACGTTGCTCCTTTCCAAATTTTTGTTGATATAAAATGTATCCATGCTTACCAATTTATTAAGGGAATATAATCTTTTCGTTGTCCCATTGAAATGAATCAACATAATTTCCGACTATTAAACTGTGATTTGGTTTTTTTTTATCAACTACAAATTAAATCTTTTATATATTCCTAACTAATTATTCCTGTATTCTGTACAATTTATAATTGATAGTTCACTTATAAGATGAACTCAGTTTCTGTTTGAATATACACTTTTCAATGTTGTCAAATTTTTGTCGAATTGGTTCCAAAGTTATATGAGATTAAATATGTTTTGGTTGTAAAATTCTTTTACAGATTTCTAATTTTCTGTTCTGACCAATGTGTTTCTAAAAAGTATGTTTCCTGCGCATTTGTTTCAACAAATAATAAACTTATGTGATCCTTTCATGAATTTCTGATTGCTTATACTCATTTAGTATTGTTTGTTTGAATCTTCACATCGATGTGTTAGAACTACAACTGGTCAGTCTTTAGGACTCAGTGGTCGAGTGGATAACGCGGTGGCGTTTGAAGCGAAAGGTACTGGGTTCGAGTCCCAAAGTGGACATCAACTGTGAGAAGCTTTAAGCATATGGAATGTAGATAAATGATCAATTGGAACCATTCTTACTCATATCAACAGAATACTAGACACGAATTAGATTATTGACTGTTAAGAGTAAGTCACTAAATAATCTTAATCAACTGTAAAAGATATTCATGGGACAAATCTACTTAGGTCATGTAACCAGAACGCAAATACTATCTAGGAACTATAGCTAACAACAGTGTGATATTAAATAAGAATAATAAATTTGTAAAATTTCAGCGAATGAATTTGAAGTAAACCCAACGTTTCGCCTGGCAATCTGGACCAAGCTTTTTCAAGGAAATATTTCCTCGCTGAGATTTTAAAAATATATTATTCTTATTTAATGTCTTAAATCAACTCCTCACCCAATTACTGTGAAATTATTCGCTCTAATTTAGACAAAAGTTCTTATATAAACCGTGTGATAGTTATGTCTATGAGAGATCCATCAAAGAGTACTTCTTGAAAGACTTCCAAAGCCCCGTATCGGCCATCAGTATATGAAACGTTAACCGACCTTTTTCTCGAGTGTAACTAATGAAGTTATGCATGTCATCTAAAATACTAAAAGTATTGGTTGGCACATAAATGATAGTTCAATGTTCTTTTTTGAAATCATAACATATTCTTAGCAGGGACTCGTTCTTTTTGCTCCGAATCTCTTTGAATGTTTAAATGAATGATGACAGTTTTCTAAACATCCACATAACTTCAGCGTTCTTAGTGTGCACCCATAAATATAACTTTTAGGAACCGGTCAGTAGCGATATTTTTAAATCTATATTTATCCGTCGACGATTTAAAAGACTTCAAGGTGGTTTATTTATTTAAACACATAAATATTGGTACAAGAGAGCACCAGATATATATGCGCCACAAAAATCTCATTTGATTTGTGTGAGGGCTATGATATTGCCCATGTGCCCAAACTGAAGCAGGTAGTTTTCTTAGGGGGGCCACACCCGGAGCCTTTGACCTAAAGGTCTGACCAACAAGGCACTGGAGCATCGTAAGGAGATGCAGTCTCATGGTGGCGAGTGACCAACGACTGATTCATACGCCATTTGTCCCCTCAGTATACTGAAGCCCATGTAGACCATTGGTTTGGAATGAAGGTTTTCCAACTTCCTTAGGTGGACTCGCCGTGTCCACCTACCCGGTTAAAACGTCGGACATTGGCTTTTCGTCCTCCCAACTTCGTAAAAAACACCCCCGCCACGAGAAGGCAATGAGTAAGGCCTCCCTTTCAAAGGCTGTATACGCGTGGTCTTGTGAGAGCATTTGGAGATGGAGAGCTGGCTTTCCCCACTCTCGGCCGTACCGGGGCATTCGGGGCAGGTTTGTGTTATCTTATACGTGGAGTAAGTTAAATATGAGATCCGAATTATAAAATATTGGACCGTTGACTATGGAATAATAAATGATATGATCCCTACAGAAATTAACAAAGTAAATAAGTATTTTATTTATAATATTTTAGTCCACCACCTAGATTAAATTGTTACCTTTGGTATTTTCATTCTGTTTTTTTGTTTACGCTGTAAATTAGCGATATACTTCAATGTGTTTAATGTTATCTAGTTTTTTTCTGTAACGTCAACTTTAAAAGTAAACCATTTTATTTACGTCAATAATTTCTGTACATTTTTTTCTGATTGATATTTTTGTGTAGTTATGTTCGCATGAATGATCATTTTTCCAAATGTCTATCTATGAAATCTGCTTCTCCTGCATTATAATTAATTTTTCGACTGGAAAATATAAACGGACAGTTTTTCTATGCAAAGGTTCATTACTGTGGATAGGACGTGATGAGCGAGCTTGAAACTAAAGGTTAGAGGAACATTAAATAAGTGCATTACGCCAATCTGAATTTAAACGTATTATAGTCTTTAATTTTAAGGCTAGTCCTGATTGTCAACAGCCACACGGTCTATTTTCTGGTGTTGGACCGAGAAAGAATTAGGCAGAAGTAATTCGAGTTTTATGTCACGTAATAATCAAGCAAGCATTCAGTGAAAGGCTTGTGCAACAGCTCTTCAAGTTACAACTTTAGGTTACGATAACTCTTGTGCTCGATGTAGCGCAGTTCAATAACTAACTAAACTTTTGAGTTCACCTCAGATCCTATCTCGGAAGTCAGCTTTATTATAAGACAGCTACATACATCAGAAGATAACATTATTGAACTTCCCGATTATCTTACCTGTCTTCTGAACGTCAGATAAGATTATACACCCATAAACTTCACAAATGCTCTTCATGTCAAGCACTATGAAAGAGCGGAAAGTAATTTGTATTGGTGCCATAATTGTTACGGTGGGAGTTATTGCTGTTGCAAGAGGTCTTATTGTCTGGCCAATGGTAAGTGGTCAATAGAAAACTTTCTACGCTCGCTCATATTAGTAACTACGATACGCGATTGTTGGAATATCTATCTCGATGTAATTTTATGTACAAATTTCTTGAAGTTGCAAAGAATTATATTGTTTGAGACCAACTGTCAACAAAGAGTTTTCATCAATACCAACGAATTTTGAACTAGTATTTCTTTTTTAAATGAAATAAATTTGTTAAGAACATGAGATGCCTTTTTTAAGCTTTGTGAGACTGAATAATTTAACAATAAACGGTCAAGTTGTTTACAACCGTCATTTTACAATCACCGTAGCAACTAATCACATTCATGCACAAATGTCTGGTTTTTTATCATTTATTTTATCTCTGCGGATCGTAGTTAACGACATGTTCATTACTGTTGATCTAAATATATAATTTACTTGAACAATTAGGGATCCTAGCATTTCTAAGTCTTTATATGGAACGGAATTTAATTAGCTATATCTGTAGCCCCTGTCTTTTCTTAAAATGTGAGATGGTTATAATGTAACATCAAATAATTTGGGTCGACTTACACTAAGTACCTTGAGCTCTTGACTTTCGAAACAAACACTTCATGTCCCACTGCCTAGGTTCAGCCAGTTAACCGACTTAATCGATCTGTTAACAACTGGAACTGCGCTTTAATATGACTACAGATGCTCCCGAGAAACTATGAAATTGGATCACTTTTCTTTACCGGTTCATAAACCCGTTGTGTATTTAACGGATTGATTAGTCAAAACATTTATAATATGCAATAAGATAGTCCTGAGAACGTTACGGTACCGACTAGGTAAAGCTAACAACTCCGATTTAAAACTTCAGTTTAAAATTGGTAAATTGCGTCCGCAATATATCCGACAACATATCTCCAATCCTTCCTTTCACCACATTTGATCTTGTTTCATCAAAGAATGATGGTGACTGTCCATCTAACTTAATCTTATTCAACCATGTATACGACATCATTGATACGTGAAGCAATAATTGCAATATTCCTTAAACATTTTCATGATATAGAAGGATTTAACTATATCATTTCTCGTAATCCTATTAATTCTTCGTCGCTATAAGCATAAACGCCCTCGACATTTTGGCTTTGGCCTTTTATTAATTGTCGTGATTGCTTCCGTGTTTTAGACTACGCAATTTTTGCTACTGGAATAGGCAGTTTTTAGGATAGATCTGAATGCAGTTTGAAGGATTTATAAACGTTTTAAAGTAATGTAACAATATTAAGCTAATTTATTTTAAACAGCCGTAAAACACATGAGCCAAGTCAACGCAAATGCAAGATAAACATTTTTAAGAATGTAGTGCTATCTATTACATTAAGTCCGTCTAGCCATTTTCTCTGAAGTGGTATAACGACATCGGAGAGAAGCAATATAATAAAACGTTGGTGCATCAATGAACGCTTGTTGAATTCTGACAGAACTGTATAATGTTAACGATGGCGCGTCATATGAATGCTGCCTTGAGCAGATGAACTGTTAGTAGTATATACCTCAGGCTTCATACAGTTTATAAAACAGAAAACCTGTTTCATTTATTTCGGTGTTTCTTGGTACCAGTTTCTAGGCAGATGCTATAATAGCCTTTATTGAAGGAAGATTTTTTATCGGAGTACAACTCAAGAAGTACTATGTAATTGCGTTCTGGATATACAATTTAGACACTGTATTAAGACCATTTATTCAACGTTGACAGTGGTGACTTTTCGGCATTACTTCTTTTATTTTAATTATTCGTACCAAATTGACAGGATCACTGATGTTGTGGTGTGGTCTACTTATATCCATATAAGTAGTATATGGTGTGGGTCAGACATAGAATGTATTTTGGCAGAAGACCGATGACGAAAGAACTGGAATGAAGCGCAATCGTCTGGAAAATGCATGAGCAATGGAATTAGAGAAGAAACAGTGAAGATTGAAACAATTGGTTGTTAATTTGCAAATTGACTGTTCATTGTTTGGTAATCAGAATTTATTGAGATAGTCTGTAATGTTTGCTTAAATACATTCGATTGTCCCCAACCAGTGTTCTGTTCACTACATTTGGTGTCGCTGCCAACCGGGAGGAGGAAGGGTGCTGTTCTGCGGACGCCGCTGCGGGTCTGAAGTTGAAGTGTTAGTTGGGGCAGTCCGGTGCGGAGAGTTGGCGTCGAGTGGAGTGTTCTGGCGGGGCGGCGTTGGCTGTAGCGGGTGCTGTCGATGGAGAGGAGCAGTGGGACGTGCGGCTGCTGGGCGGACATCGGATGTAGATGGCTCAGCAGGCCGGTGGAGTACGGGTGTTGAACGTCCCAGGTGCCGGGTGGATGCGGATGTTGGTGCCCCGGCAGGTCGACGGAGCTATGGAGGTCAGCGCGCCGCAGACTCGACATTCTGACGGAGAGTTTGGCACAGACTGCAGTGAAAGAAGATAGTGGCGTGGCGAGCAGAACCACCGCATGAACGAATGCGTTAAAGGGGGGACGAGTGTGGTGTGGTCTACTTATATCCATATAAGTAGTATATGGTGTGGGTCAGACATAGAATGTATTTTGGCAGAAGACCGATGACGAAAGAACTGGAATGAAGCGCAATCGTCTGGAAAATGCATGAGCAATGGAATTAGAGAAGAAACAGTGAAGATTGAAACAATTGGTTGTTAATTTGCAAATTGACTGTTCATTGTTTGGTAATCAGAATTTATTGAGATAGTCTGTAATGTTTGCTTAAATACATTCGATTGTCCCCAACCAGTGTTCTGTTCACTACAATGTTAGTGCTAAGAAGTTGCATTGACCAAAGTTGATACTGATATCTATTATTTTCGGATGGATAATCGGTTAACTACTTAGAAACAGACTAACGTCTCATATTTAGATATTTGTAAACTTCTGATACTTTGCTTAGACCTGGGAGGCAAGGATTGTTAAGAACAACATCCAGCTTCTGGTTTCCAAAACATTTAATGTTGTGGTACAATGCAGTACGAACATTGCCGAGTAGTAGTGAGTTTCGATTTGAATTCTATATTTTGTAACATCCATCTGTTTATAAGAAGAAAAATACTGGAAACAGAGCAATCCGCCAAAAGATTTTGAATATAAGACGTGAAACATACTATGCATTTTCATATTCTTCTGATTCGTTTGTCTAAGAAGTATACATTTACTTGGCCATTTTTATCATATTGATAAACTGTTGATCCAACGTCTTCTGCTTATTCAAAAAGTGTATGAGGAAAGTGTGAATCAGTCTTTTATAAGAGCTGTTTTTAAGTAATTAGTGGCCTTGGACTAATGTAATAAATATTTCCTTAGGTTTATATCACATATTAAGTGAGTCAAGCATATCTTTAGAAGAGCTGGAATACGAATACATCTAAACAGTATGTGCAGTGTTTGTAGATATGAGTTCCAATGCATGTTTCGTCGATACCGGCGTTTTCGAAGTCCCTCTTCTTTTCTTCACTGCGAATCTTTGTTTGTTTACCCGCATTAGGACTACCTTTCCTCAGGTTTGCTGAAAACGTTTTCCGCATACTTGTCAAGAGATTGATGATGTTGCTCATCAAAACCTCAGCATTCATGTTGCACGTGCCGTATATCCACAATCCGACTCACTAAGTCTGTTATAAACAGTTACTGTAAGCTCTGAGTGCTCTTCATGGAACCAACCTATGTATTTGTCACATTGTATGCCAGCTGTAACAGCAAAATAACATCCGGGTCGCTTGCAAGAATGCTCCATGGATGTGGTGAAGTAAATTGTTTATTACATCCTAGCAACAGTCTACGACTGTAAAAGAAGAAACAGTAGACTAAAAAGCGCATAAAATGGATAAAAACGGGTGGCACAAAAAGTTAGAATAAAATAAATCTAGCATTGACATGAAAAACCGAACAGTAAGCTCAGGCAAAACTGCAGTCAATTATTTAATCTACCAAACGTTAAGATTGGGATGTATCCTTCGGGTCAAAAACGGTAATACTGTTGCGTGAAGACAGAAAAGTTTGGGAAATCGAAGTCACGCTAAGAATAAACTTTCGTTCGTAAAGCACGCACCTATTCTGGTCGTTTAAAATCATAGCCTAGTTCTGTTCCGCAGAAGCAGACTTTCACGGGCACAGAGTAACGGATGGCTCTAACCGCATTCCACTCTAGCACCAGCATCTACCATTATATCGTACCCTTGTCTGCTCCAACACAAACTCCTTAGCACTGTTTAGGGTCTATATGCAAGTGTCTTGCTGTTCCTTTTTGTTTAACATCACGCTCTCAGTGCACAGGTATGGAGCTTAACGTAGTCTAAACAAACAACATGCACACTTTCCAAGATCCCAGCTCATACCAAGCGCCCGTTAAATGTGCATTATAATAACTTATTAAACAGTTGTATTGCATAAATACTCGGCACGACTAGAAACCTAACACAGTAATGCCGATTTCGGACCTAGTGTGCAACGTGGATACAGTTACATGTTTAAAAAAGATTGTGAAAACAACACTCATAGTGCAATACAAGAACATAATCCTGATGATTAACTCTCTGGGATATCTCTAAGAATGTAGTTGTGATGTTTAAATAAATCAATGACTTCTTCGTATTGATGACTGTTGTAATTTTGAATTCCAAATACAATACATTCGTTTGTGCTCCTCTTGTACTTTTTGAATAAATTGCGTTATTTCTGGGATTACTAGTTTATACTACAATTCAAATACTTCTGATTATCATATTGGCGTCGCGATTGAGCCTGTAATGGAACGGTTGGATATAAATTCAGGTTTTAATGCTTTTGAGGAGTACATGGAAAGGTTCGAAATCTGGGCTATGACCAAGGAAGATGATGAGGATTTTAATATTGTGGCCCATTTTCTTACATTCATCGGGAAAGAAGCATACAGCCTTATAAAGATTTTGGCACTTCCAGACAAACCGATTTCACTCCCCTATGCAACTCTCAAGCAACTGCTGTTGGATCATGTAAAGTATACAAATTTCGAATGCGGTAAGAAGGGAAAATCCGATAAAATGACTCGTCAGAACATCAGGAATTCCACTTATTCAAACAGTCGTCGTAGTTCGATGCGTAATGAAAGTTATTCAGACAATACTTCATTGAGTTGTGAAACAGTCCATGATGTTGAGCACGAGTTTGGTAAATGCATGTTCTGCGACAAGTTTCACCCATGTAATTCATGTATATTTCGTAATTCTAAATGCTTTAAATGTGGTATAACTGGACATATTCAGTCAGTTTGTAATACCATGGTTCGGTGAAAGTAATGCTAATATGGATACTTCTAATGATCAGTTATCTTTATTTAGAAGTGGTATAACGTCACATAGCAGTCCAGAGTTAAATAAAACTCAGAATCATTGTGAAACAAAAAATTTTAACCAACAAACTTATCGTATTTCTCATGATATTGAACCAGATATGGTTTGTCGTAATAATTCACATACTTCTGATGAAATTTCTTACAACTCTGAGAATAGAATGTTAAATGAGTCAAATCATGATCAAAAACCAAATTCAGTCATGGTAGATGTTGAATTCCCTGATGATCCATTACCTAATGAAACTCTTAATCAATTTGAGGAAAATATTTCAGAAGAATCGAATTCTGATATCATATCAAGTGTCAGTGGTCCTCATAATGAATTTATCTCTAATGATATTCCTCATGAATGTGAAAAATATGTTTCTTATGAGTTGAATTCTAGTCATATTTCTGATGTTATTGTGTCATATGTTGGATACTCTCACGAACAATGCATGTTGAATAGAATCCCTAGTCAGGGGTATAATGATACAGAGGGGATAGCAAAATTTTCCGAAGCAACCAGAGAACCAGTTTGCCCAGAAGTGAAGTTTGCACAGACAGAGAATCCAAATCAAGTCCAACATTATCCTAATGAATATGAGGCAGATGAATGTTTTCTATCCGATTGTTTCGCAGGTAAATCAAGCCTAATTGAATCACATGTGTTAATTACATATATCAATGTATATCCATCTGTGTATTCTAATATGAATAACAAAAAGAATATGTATCATGATTTTTATTCAAGTCAAAGTCACATGATGGAATACCTCAAATTATATATCAGTGTTTATCCCCAAATACTCACATACAGTAGTCGATGCGTAAGATTTGAGAAGATAATGCAAATTGGTAACGTCATATTGGCTAAAACATTGCGAATCAAGGACCCAACATTATTTCGTGGGTTAGGATATTGTTGGAAAGTCTATGATGCAAATTCTAAATATCAATGGTTTCACTACACAACCGACATGCTGATTGTATACAATTCTAGAACCCAGGTGAGTCTGTTCCGATTTCCGTTGTTAATTCTAATACTAATGAGTGCATTCTAGATAACACAGAGTGTACATTCAATACACCATCGGACAGATGTAGGATGAACTTAAGAAGAAGACAAACAATCGATTACAAACACTTACACTTCAATTCGAGCTGTGGCGGATGTGATGTTTAAATAAATCAATGACTTCTTCGTATTGATGACTGTTGTAATTTTGAATTCCAAATACAATACATTCGTTTGTGCTCCTCTTGTACTTTTTGAATAAATTGCGTTATTTCTGGGATTACTAGTTTATACTACAATTCAAATACTTCTAATTATCATAGTAGTGTATTTTATTTCTATCGGTTTCAATTATTTAACAACCCTGCTTGGTAAACATCTCATTTGTAAAACAATGTTGTAAATTACAGGTCATGACTGTAAGAATGACGTTTATCTGCCCTGACAGAAACATAATTTGCTACTATTAAGTTGTATTACGCGTCACACAGTAAATTTTCATACATATTCCCATCTGTTTAATACGTAGTTTCAGGGTTGTCGAAAAGAACTCTAACTGATGGTCAGTGTCTTCTTACAGAGCTTGGTCAGTTTAGGAAGTTCGATTACGTGGAAACCGTTTGATTAGAGTGTACGAGACAAGGTGTTTGCAACTACATTCCTTGCCCAGATATGCGTTGTATGTCTGAAGTAGATGGTGAAATGTCATCCAGTTATCGTGACCATGGAGGAAAGTGCTTGACGTGAGACTAGGTTCAAAAAAAATTTTACAGGTTTGTGGTTTGCAAACAGTATCAATTTTCTGCGTTCCACAGAGTATTGAAATAGCTGTGGAGCATAATACATGGATGTGTTTCACACCGAAAATGCCATACCTAGACTCGGTGTCTTTCAGACGTCTCGGCAAGAATATCATAGGTTGTCATGTGTTATCAACTCATTTTTGTAAGACTCCTCCGATTACTGTGTGAAACGCGTTTACTGCAATGCCAGCAGATGCTTTGGTGTACTGATGTGTTTGCGTTGTTGCTTTTAAGACACGTTCCTCAACTACGAAGAATACCTTTCTCGCAATTTTTAAATCGATAACTTTTGCGTTTCCGCGATGTTAGTCTGTTAGGTGTCCCATGACAGACGCGCGGTGAAAACCATCTATAGATAGCTAACAGGTCGTTGAAAGCACGTAACTGTCTAACTGTAGTTGGTTCTGGTCAGTCTTGAATGGGCACCACTTTGCTTTTCACAGGTCGGATATCTTGAGCATCAATTGTATCCGATAAAGTTCGGGAAGTCGATTCTGATCGACCTTTTCTGACTCTCTATAATAATGCCACGGTAAGATAAACATATTGTTTACCGTAAATAACAATTAGCTTCCCATTTGCTCATTGAATGTTGAGGACCGGTTCATGTAGTTGGTCTTCAGAATTTGCGGGAATAATGCTTAATTCTTCGCCAGTGTTGACGGGACAGAGAGCATTCGTCATCGCATTAGTGATACATAACGGATGGTTATGACCACCGGCTATGGTTGCCGTTAACGCATGAAGGCGAGAAGCTTGTAGAAAGGTCATTAGGGTGGTCGACTTTGAGTTTGGGAAAATGCAGGGTTTTTCACAATTTTTGAAAGACTTTTCATAAGTGTCGCGATACCACTGTCAATCAGAAAAATCTGTCTCTTGCGGTCTGGAGACAGATCGTTCCCATCAAGTACTCTTCCGAAGAGCTTAGGAGCGTCTACGGTCATGAGTAATACTACGGCGACATGTTAGAGTATTATATAATTCTATGACTTCGTTTTTCTTTGGCTGAATAGACCTCGTCGTTGGAAGTCTCGTAGATCTCCAGAATTCTGTCAGCGGATGTAGTTATTTTGAACCGAGACAAGCAATACCTGCACCTGTTGATGAACCTTATGCCAGGAGAGTCTTCTAAACAGGCCATCGTGCAAGGTTCGTTAACCAATGACCTCTTGCATACGTAGCAAAATTTGTGTTGCTGTAGTTAATTGTTGTGGAAGGACTGGCCTGACCTTTGTCGGTCGAAGTTAAGATGATGGTTGGAGGTAATCAGTAGGAAACCCTTTACCTAGGCACTCGTGCACTCGTGAGCAAGGTGCACCTGGAATCTGGAGGAAACTGATGCTTCGATCTTGTGTCAACCAGCTTCACAGTGAGAGACGTTACCACTGAGCTGCCCAGGCCGCTACTGACCCGCTGTAGCACTGAGATATATTTACAATACATTGATCACTTGGTGGTGATCAATGTCATGAATATCATGTTTTTTTAATGTACATCGAATCCTATCGATCAGGTTTTTATATTGTCTAGCCAGAATGGCATTAGCTTAATTATGAATGGCGAAAGAGTCCTAACCCTAAATAACTTAGGAGCACGTTCCATTATAATGAAAAGAAAATATACCAATGAAGGAGAAGAAACGTCCGAGAATACGATAATTGTATCACATTTTGTAAAAATGAAAACTAAAAAATGATAAATAATCTTCCGACAATGGACAGACTCAAAGTTTACGATCACTTGGGGCTCACCACTAAACGCGCGTCAACCAGTAACATCTTTATAATCAAAGTATGCCAGCGAAGTCAAGCCAGAAGTCAGGAATGAAGGAGTTCGAAGATATTGTAGCGGTAAATAAATCCACAAAAACAATAGCTCTGTAAGTGTCCGGTATTGGATGCTGACAACATTAGTTTTAATGGACTGACGTAGCTGAAGGAGCCTGGCCATGCATCCGCATCAGATCACGAGAAGGAACGCCATGCTCAACTTCTCTTGAGATCGCTAGCCAGTTTAGACCAGTCGCTTCTCGATATATTGATAATCTGTCAAATATATCTTCCCACCGCCTCACCTCTGACTTTCGATTTCACGATTCAATTATAGGTGTTGCTGGTTAAAGTGTTGCTAAAATACAATACATGTGGCGTCTTCAATATATTTGGAAGGCTATAGATAGGTCTAAGGAACGATTGGTCTAAGCTGGATAGTATTTGTCAGGGATGCATAGTGCGACGTACCCATTCATGACTGAGTGCCTTCAGCTAGTTAAATCCATTAAAACCAGTGCACTCAGCATCAAATGTTGAAGACTTACAGAACTATTGATTTTGAGGATTTATCTATTGCTATAGTAAAATGGGCTATAGTCACTTTTTTTTACTTTTTAAGAGCAGCTAAATTGAGGGATTCACTGCCGTCTGAGCTAGACTTCTCAAGAGTGCTTTAAGAGGAGACTCAATATATACTCAAGGACTCGCTATAATTCATTAACATCGTTTCCATCTTATCGTTAAATATAATGAGGTCCCCAACTGAAAGCAATAATGAACCATCATTACTAGATATGGAAGCTTGTTAAACGAAAGCTTCCTCTATTCTGTCCACAACTATTTGAACCATTTGGACCTTGAGGTTTACGCGGTACTGATAACAGCTGTTGTCACGTGTTAGTTTCAAATTAAGTTCGTTTTCATACTTATAGACCTTTTATATCCAGTTAAAATCGACTCAGTAACTAGCACTTTACTTCCTAATATCCACTTATGCTTCTTCCGGTCTATTTAATCTGTCGAGTTACGATGCAGTAGAATTTTCCTAACATAGCTGTGTTAAGAATGATAAATGTTATATCTGGTTTACCAAATCCTTATATAGAAAACCATTCCGCCTGCCTGTTTTATGGCATTATCCATGTACGTTTGTCATTGGTATGGGACTGGGGAGTGATCAACATCTAATTCTTCACTATGTAAAAATTATATGGTATTTTACTTATTAAATAGCAACAGAAAACCGAATATTCATTCAGATCTATGTCTAAAGTTTGAAAATTGATTTCAAAGTATGGACAGATCATTTTACAAAACATTCAGTTACGTGACAATTATTTACGTTGTAGCCCGATAGGAGGTACTTACGTTAGATTCTCATAGTTCTATTACGGGCTTATGCACTTCACTTACAGTCTCATGATTTGTAGGAACTAAGCATTGTATATAAATACCCTAACTGAGGTAGGCAAAGCAAAATTTAGACATGGTGTCATCTCGGTACACTTTATAATTAAAAACAGGTAGGATTGGTCATTGTAGATTCATAATAAGTAGCCAAGTACTTGTGAATTTCATAATTATGCTACTTAAATGTTGTTTTTTGTACCTTCCCCAGACAAAGTCAAATTCTTTAGAAAGCTGATTGTTAGCAGCGCTTGTCGAAAACAGGCTTCATATAATAACTTCAGTGCGTCATGAATTACGATGGTTATACTAATATTTACCACCCCAGTTCTAAGAAACCGGGATACTACAACCCGTCCGAAATGTAAGTCAAAAATGTTCATTCTTGTTATTGTTGGTCAAGAAATTATTAGTATATATCCAATGTTCGCTAAACGGTCTGATAGGTGGATAAACAAACGATATACTATAGTATCGCACCTATCAAAGTTACTGCAATTCATGCTCTTAAACCTGTTACTCCTCGTGCTGTATCGACCCCCGACCAGGGATCTCCAAAGAACTGTGCTTCTCTCTTTCTTAGATTATTATTATTTAAACACATAAACATTGTACAAAGAGGCGCCAAACACATACGCGCCACATGAATCACTCGATTTGTGTGAGGGCTATGATACTGCCTGGGTGCCCAAACCGAAGCAGGTAGTTTCCATAGGGAGCCACATCCGGAGCCTTCGACCTAAAGGTCTAATCCACAAGGCAATGGAGCATCGAGAGGAGATATAGTCCCATGGTAGCCAGTGACAAACAATTGTTTCATATGACATTTGTCCCTTCAGTATCCTGGGGCCCATGTGCACCATTTGTTTGGAATCAGGGTTTTCCAACTCCACTAGGTGGATCCTCTATATCCATTAACTCGTTTAAAGTGCTGGACATTAGATTTTCGTCCTCTCAATTTTGTAAACAATACCCTTGCCACGAAAAGGCAGTGAGTAGGACCTCTGTAGCAGTGGTTGCATGTAAGGGGCCATTTGAGAGTATTTCGAAAGGATTTGCTGACTCTTCCCACTCTCAGCCGTAAAAGGGTAGTTGGGGGCCGTGTGGTACTCGTGGTCTTAATGTCTGCCCCCCGATTTGCAGTGTCATGTGTTCTGTTTTGCCTCTCTCCTTTCTACATTAAGAATTTCATGTTAAGTTTTACCTTGTGTTTCAGTTTGGTGGTTTTGGTCGTTAACCTTGCCCACCTTATTTATCTTTCCTAATTTCCTTCATCGATGGAGTTCGGTTTATTATCTACCATAGTGGGTTATTGTTAATTGTCTCTGTTCAGTAGATCTGTATATTTTTAAAAAACTGTACTCTTTTGGTAACGGTGTTTGCAATCCTCCAAGTCTCAGTTCTGTACAGTAGATCTGTTTTAGCATTGGTGTTAGTAACTCTGACTTTGTTTTTGGTTAATACTTCTTTTGCAAGTCGGATATTTCTTAGATGTGAGAATGCTGTCTTTCTTTGCCGATCCATGCCTTGATATCTGCATCAGATTCTCCTTGTTTACCTATGCCTCCTCCTAGGTACGTAAAATCTCTCACCTCTTCCAGAGCTTCGCCATCAAGTACGATGTGGTTGATGTTGACTGAGTGATACTTCAAGATTGTACTTTTTCCTATGTGAATAGGACCAAATCATCCAGCTTCATCCAAGTTGCCCACAATAATCCGTAATTTTCCTAAGCTTTGGAAGCCTTCTTAATCCAGCCAACAGTTGGCAAAAAGAGAGAGGTTGGGCGTAGACGCCATTGTTTCCCACCAGTCCTCACTTGTAATTCGCCTGTGAGTTGGCCTCCATGTACAACTTTGCGTTTCAAACCCTCATGAGAGTTAAGTATGATAGTGTTGATCTTTTCAAGTACTCCAAAGTATGGAAAATTGTACGGTACTTTTTCTAACCACTCTTTTAAGTGCTTTTTTAAAATCAAGGAAGTCGACTTATTACTATGAGTTCTGTTTAAATGATTGTTCCATGATAATCCTCAGTGTCACGATTTCTTCAGTATATGATTGATCTCTATGAGATCCATTTTGTTGATCTCAAAGTTATGAATCTACTAAATCTTTCATTCTGTGTGCCTGGCACTGACAGTAGTATGATCCCTTTTCAATTTTCATATGATGTATATTCAGTATCTTAATTTGGTACTCCTTCAAGTTTATTGATACCAGTTTTTTCTTCCAAATTTTTCCGAAGGTAACTTGGAACATCTTCTACATTCCCTCAAGTTCAGACTATAGTGCTTCAGTTGGTGTGCTGTCTGATACTCGTGTTTGCCATTCCTGGTTTGTCTGATGTGATTGCTAGTTTCTACTATTATTGGTGAGGTATCATTTCTAGAGATATCTGTGTGCTACATCGATGTACATTTAGTTCAGTTGTGCTTCTGTGTTCAAGAACTCTTTAAATCGATTTACCTTATCTATTTTCTTGATCTTCAGTGATTGGTCGCTCTTGTCATCGCTCTTCACAGCTGCCTCAAAAATCATGTAGTCATTAGCAAAGTAGACAAACCGAAGGATAAATAAAGCACTTCACATCTCATAGATTCATGTATTTTAGCTTTTGGTGGTCAAAAGACTGCATTTTGTCAGGGTTTTCTCCTTAATGGACTATATCGTCTATGTATTCAAAGTCAACAAATGGATCTTCCGGTGGGAGATTAATCCATGGAAAATCAGACGATAAGGGCGTTATCTCTAAAAGAATGTATATGACAAAGTTAAGTAAAGATGAAGTCGACAGCCCTGAAGAGCACTACTCAAGGTTGACAACTTTAATGACACTTCGTCATAAGCTCTGACTCGAACAGTAGTATTCGAGTGGAGAGTTTGCATAAGGTCGGCGGGCTTCTTTGGTATGGCTTTCAACAACAGACACTGTCAGAAACCTGTCTATCTAAGGGATCAAACTCTGTCTTGAGATCAAAATGTACAAATATAGTTAGGAGTTGGTAGGTGTGTATTCATTCCGGAATCCGGTGATATACCAGCTGAAATTGTGGAGATGAGACGATTGAACTTGCTCATTTCTGTCATTACAAACTAACTGTTAACATGTAAAAAGTTCTGTTAAATATGATGCCTTCTGCAATCTGCTCTAAAGAGATGGTTAGATACAATTTACCCAATATTTTCATTCATTGTATCGCTTTTTATAATTGTACATTTAGTTGGGAATAGGTAAATTTCACTTATACTGTTAACTGGTTTTCATTCCTTTAAACAATGTAATCTACCTTATCTGGTTAATTTGTTTGTCCTTCTTGTCATATCTAAAGTACTTAACTGTGCAGTAACGCTGTTTGTTTTTCATGGTTCTTTAGGCAATTCAGTCAGTTTTCATATGAAAATCCAAATCTAATACCGTCCCAACCTATCAATCTTCCATTCTCACAAGTACAATATTCCTCTGGTGCGATATATGAAGAAAAAGAAGAGGATTACGAAAATGAACCACCTCTGTTAGAAGGTAAGAATGAAATTTATTTTAAATATTTCTCAAACAACTAGGTCTTCCACTGTACCATAACTTTTAAAAGCAATACGTCTAATAAAACAGCCATTATTGGTGTGTAGGATGCGAATGTGGGTTTTGCACTTACGTTATGGATATGTACATTTCTATACTCTGTATTAATTAATTTTTAAGACATAACTTTGCTGAAATTCGTTTTTGTTTATTTTCAGAAGTTTTAAGGTTGCCAAAGTGAATGGTTAACGTTTGTAACACGAGTCAGTCAGTCAGCTACAACGTAGTACCAGGCACATTTATGCATCGGTCCAAGTTACCATACCTCGTTAGCACAACAAGATGAACACCGGATTTATGGAAGTAGTTCATTTAGTGGTGGTAATATATAAAAGATAGGTTGTATATAAGGATATAGTATAGGAAGGAAGAAAGTTATGAAGCGATTTTAATCTCAAGGTTTAAGGGAAGATAAAGAGTGTATACACTTATGCCATTGTGATCAATTCTGAGCCACGTCACACAGAGTCTTCAACCATTGGTTATGAACATATCAGGGAATACTTTTAAAACCTAGTAACAATATTTATTGATGAAACTGTCCATAAATATATCTCCATAAATATTAACATGAATGTATAGTTATTCATCAAAACAACCCGTTTGTAAACTAGTTTTTTTACTGAACCACTAAAAAATAAAGAAGTATTGTTAAGTGTAGTTAATTTACAAACAGTTATATCCTAATTTTCAAAGTATTACTTTATGTTTATTTATTTATTATTTAAACACATAAATATTGGTACAAGAAAGCACCAGATAAATATGCGCCTCACAAATCACATTTGATTTGTGTGAGGGCTGTGATACTGCCCAGGTGCCCAGACTGAAGCAGGTGGTTTTCTTAGGGGACCACACCCGGAGCCTTTGATCTAAAGGTCTAGTCCACAAGTCAGTAGAGCATCTGAAGGAGATACAGTCCCATGGTAACCGGTGACCAACGATTGGTTCACACGTCATTTTTTCCCTCAGTATACTGGAGCCCATGTGCGCCATTGGTTTTGAATCAGGGTTTTCCAACTCCCCTAGGTGGACCCTCTGTGTCCACCAACCCGGTTAAAGTGCCGGACATTCGCTTTTCGTTCTCTCAATTTCGTAAACAACAGTAATGCCACTAGAAGGCAGTGATTAGGACTTCTTTGGTAGAGGAACGATGTCGTGTAACTTTGGATCTGTTACCTTCAATAGATTTTGATAAAAAAAGTGGAGAATATTTTACTAAAAGATAAATAGTAAAAGTAAAATTGATTCGTGCTCAGAATTAACTCATCAAGATTTATTTACTGTAGACCACATGGAAAGTTAATTTATCACAACTTTACTTAAGTAGTAGGCTAGAATTAACTTATGATTTGTGTATTCAGGGAAAAGACGTCTACGTACCTCACATCATCACGTCTTGTTGCAACCATCATATTATCAAACCTCTTAGTCGAATTCAAGTAGTCCATAGTTTTGAATAGTTAAATGTATTTAACATAGTTGAAATCATAAGTCAATTGAAGCTAGACCACCATGGAAAACCTGGAAGCACTGGACGGCCGTTTCGTCCTACTGTGGGTCTCCTCAGCAGTGCGCATCCACGACCTCACCTCGAGTGATTCGAACCCAGTCTCGCGCCAGAGCACTCAACCGATAGACCACTGAGCCGGCATCCCATGGTGTTTATGTGTAACTCCAACCAATCCACCAAGTTCACCAACCGTACACCAATTATCTTCAGTCAGTTGATATCTCACAACAGACGTGCTTTCAACTCCACTGGTCACTGCCTCTCACTAGAATTCCTGGTCTAGCTTCAATTGACTCACGCTTTCAACTATTAAAATACTAAATCTCCACAAAAACCCCTCCTGATGTACAGTTATGTCTGATTATATCATAGATCATTATTCCGATATTCTAAATACTAAATTGTATTACTGTATGATAATTACTTAACATTACATATTTTCTTATGTTACAGAACTTGGTATCAACTTTAGTCACATTGTACAAAAGGCAAGTAGTTTTTTGTTCAATATTCATATAAGGAATAATTATTTATCGTCAATTGTGGATTTGTTGATTTAAGTTTAGTGTGGTTTTATTTATTAACACTTAATACGTGGCAATTACTGACGTGATTTTATTATGATTAAAAACTACATTAACAATTGTGTTACGTCTGGCCGATTGTGAACGCTATATTCGCTTCCCTAAGCTAGTTCCGTACCCCCGAGCTAGAGGTATACACCGACTCGAAGACCAGAGAAAAGGCACAAAGTGTGAGGGAAGCACTTTACTACAGGGTTCCTTTATGTACAGAAAATGCAGGGATTTTATTAGTAATTTAAGAGTCCTTGAGTTTTACCGAAAGTTCTAGAATACTGCTAAACATAGTAGCAGTATATTAATCAGCCAATCAGGATCTCCACATATGACTTTTTCATTCTCGCTATTTTAGTAACATAACTTCACACAACTTCTAATTAACCGCTGATTTGTTGAAATGCTCCTTGATGACTCACGAGCTTGTCATGTCGCTTGCGAAAAAAATGCAGGGTCATCCCAACAGATTGGTAACATGAATCTATCCAGTCGTTCGCTATCTCAACCGTAGCTGCTACCTTGACGTGATGGTCGGGCTTGCCTATCGTGATGATCCAATCGAGCTATGCTGGCTGGAACAATCGTTCCTCAAGGTCCTACCATACCAGACAGGTCGGTTGAAGAGCGGTGAGACTACAAGCAGCAAACCCAAGGTCCGAAGGCGAAGTCGTACTGCTGACTGTACAGAGGTGTGAAAGCAGTAAGGTGTTTCCTTCAGACAACCAGCATGACAGCGATGATGCCTTCCCACAAGGAGGGGTGGGGTTAGAAAAGGTCGACCCTAAAAATGCACACCTCGCCTTATCCCACGGATTTCCGTCTCCGGCGGTAAGGACTTTTGAAGAACGGAGCTGACACGTCAAAAATCCCCCACAAAAAGGCCGTGCGTGACCGGCCTCAAGCAGTTGTCCCTTGGGCACTGCGGTCACGCTCCCAGGTCGTTAAGACCAACATTAATCCAACTTCTTTTACAGGTCCCTCAAGAAATACCTTTCCACGGTGTGGGCAGCCGGGAAGTGATACTAGACCTCATACCCTTAACTGCACACAAGACCAAGTTGGTCGCTTTCAAATACTTCCTACACCTAATAACTCTGTTATCTCCTCGACTAACCCTTCCCACGTCCTTTTATCACCTCGCACCACTAGGACAAATGGTCCGAGTACACGGAATGTTATTCCTGGTCTCCTGAAACCACGCTCTAAACTACATATAGGAACTTTTAATGTCCGAACATTGTGCCAAATAGGACGACAGGCTTCCTTAGCTAGGACCTTAGAATCTCGCACCATCGATGTGTGCTGCGTCTCCGAAACGCGCATACAAGATCCGAGTAGTGTCATTCATTTTACCGCACCTAATCAAAATAAAGTTTCACCTCGATACACGCTCCGTGTATCTGGAAGCCCTCATTCTGCTTCCCGTGGCCTCGCTGGAGTAGGTATAGCATTGAGTCGTAGGACAGAACTAGCTCTTTTAGACTGGATCCCAGTAGACAGTCGTCTGTGCGCTGTCCGACTAAACGGATCAGTAAGGACTCGAAAAGATAGGGACACTCATCGTTGCCTCTTCGTGGTCTCTGCCTACTCTCCCACTGACTGCAGCTTAGATGATATAAAAGCTGAGTTTTGCATAAAGCTTCCGACCTTTTTCGAAAAGCTAGGCGTTCTGATGTAGTAATAGTGGCTGGTGACTTGAATGCTCAAGTAGGTAAATTAAACGGAAGGGAAAGACACCTGGACGGATCTTATGGTGTGATGGCCTAAAGAATAGATAATGGCGACCGTCTGTTGCAGCTATGCTCAGATAACCGCCTGTTTCTTGCAAATACTAATTTTTAAGCCCGAATTCCTCCCAGCGTTGGGCCCAACTAGATCACATCGCTATCAGCCACCGATGGAGGTGCTCGATAGTAGACTGTCGCTCATTCTGGAGCACATGTTTAGATTAAGATCATACTCTAGTACGAGCACGTATCTGTCTGCGTCTTACTGGACGTAGGAAAGACACTGCAAGAAAGCCTCTTAGGATTCTACTTAGTGATAGGCAAGCTAAGAATATATTTCAGGAGCAACTAGAAAAACAGTTAGGCAGCCATGTAAGTTGTGCCTACTCCGAGGCAGCGTGGAATGGCATCCGAAAAGCTGTGGAAACAGCAGTGATATCCGCTAATAAGGTAAACCATAACGTTAGGGAGAAACAATGGATCACAGCAGCATCTACCGCACTGGTGGATACTCGAAAACTTATCCCATCTGTCTCTGAGCATAACGAAGAGCGGAGTCAACTTAAGCGCAGGCTTATAAGAAGTTTACGTAATGATCGTGAACAGTGGTGGGTAGCGAAAGCAAGAGAGATGGAAAAGGCAGCTGCAATAGGCAACAGCAGAGAACTGTTCCCTATCTTTTCGAGTCCTTACTGATCCGTTTAGTCGGACAGCGCACAGACGACTGTCTACTGGGATCCAGTCTAAAAGAGCTAGTTCTGTCCTACGACTCAATGCTATACCTACTCCAGCGAGGCCACGGGAAGCAGAATGAGGGCTTCCAGATACACGGAGCGTGTATCGAGGTGAAACTTTATTTTGATTAGGTGCGGTAAAATGAATGACACTACTCGGATCTTGTATGCGCGTTTCGGAGACGCAGCACACATCGATGGTGCGAGATTCTAAGGTCCTAGCTAAGGAAGCCTGTCGTCCTATTTGGCACAATGTTCGGACATTAAAAGTTCCTATATGTAGTTTAGAGCGTGGTTTCAGGAGACCAGGAATAACATTCCGTGTACTCGGACCATTTGTCCTAGTGGTGCGAGGTGATAAAAGGACGTGGGAAGGGTTAGTCGAGGAGATAACAGAGTTATTAGGTGTAGGAAGTATTTGAAAGCGACCAACTTGGTCTTGTGTGCAGTTAAGGGTATGAGGTCTAGTATCACTTCCCGGCTGCCCACACCGTGGAAAGGTATTTCTTGAGGGACCTGTAAAAGAAGTTGGATTAATGTTGGTCTTAACGACCTGGGAGCGTGACCGCAGTGCCCAAGGGACAACTGCTTGAGGCCGGTCACGCACGGCCTTTTTGTGGGGGATTTTTGACGTGTCAGCTCCGTTCTTCAAAAGTCCTTACCGCCGGAGACGGAAATCCGTGGGATAAGGCGAGGTGTGCATTTTTAGGGTCGACCTTTTCTAACCCCACCCCTCCTTGTGGGAAGGCATCATCGCTGTCATGCTGGTTGTCTGAAGGAAACACCTTACTGCTTTCACACCTCTGTACAGTCAGCAGTACGACTTCGCCTTCGGACCTTGGGTTTGCTGCTTGTAGTCTCACCGCTCTTCAACCGACCTGTCTGGTATGGTAGGACCTTGAGGAACGATTGTTCCAGCCAGCATAGCTCGATTGGATCATCACGATAGGCAAGCCCGACCATCACGTCAAGGTAGCAGCAACGGTCGGTATTAGGAACCCAACTATCAGCGAAGTCCCCCTGTTTCAGTCTGGGCACCTGGGCAGTATCACAGCCCTCACACAAATCGAATGAGATTTGTGAGGCGCATATTTATCTGGTGCTTCATTGTACCAATATTTATGTGTTTAAATAAAAAAATAAATAAACTATCAGCGAAACTATTTCGTAAAAAGATGGACATATCATTCATTCTCAACCCAGGAGATTGGATCGATAGGCAGAACACTTTAGGCATCAGTTCAACTGGTCTTCAGCCACACTTCAGTTACCCACGATCCCCAGTCGTCCTGAATGGCAAATTGATGTAAGTCCACTAACTCTCTACGAGGTTGAAAAAGATATAGGAAATCTGAAGCGAGGGAGATCAGCAGGCCCTGACAGGTTTACTCCTGAGATTTTTAAGGATGGTGGTCCAGTACTAGCAGCGAGATTGACTGGGGTTTTAGGTAGAATCTGGGAACTGGACGTAATTCCATCTGACTGGTCCCAATCACTGATTGTGCCAGTCTATAAGAAAGGACAAAAGTCCTCCTGTGACAATCACAGAGGGATCAGTTTGACTAATATAGTTTCTAAAATATTAGCTTCAATAATGCTTGGACACCTAACCAAAGCTCGTGACGAGCAGACTAGAGAAAACCAGTCTGGTTTTCGACCTGGACGTGGTTGTATAGACCAGATATTCACCCTACGTCAGGTTCTAGAACATAGACACAAATTCAGACGTCCCACAATAGTAGTATTTCTTGACCTTAAGGCGGCATTTGACACTGCTGATCTTAAGGTTCTATGGCAGTGTTTGTCATTGAAAGGAGTACTCAAGAAGTACATACACCTTATAAAGGCTCTCTACTCAAACACAACTGGTCGAGTTAGAGCTTTTGGCTAACTGTCATCACAATTGATTACCTCAAATGGTGCTCGTCAGGGCTGTTTACTTTCTCCATTCTTGCTTAACTTCATCGTAGATGTGCTTTTAAAAATAACACTTTGCTCATCTAAATTTAGAGGGGTTGAACTTCTACCAGAAGGTTCACTTGTTGACTTAGAATATGCCGATGACATAGTTCTATTTGGTGAAGACGCTGACAACATGCAGAGTCTTCTAACCACCATAAGCAACAATGCAGGCATGTTCGGGACGCGATTCTCTCCCTCGAAATGCAAAATGTTACTTCAGGATTGGGTTGCATCGACACCTGAACTAATGATAGGGAGTGAAGTAGTTGAGCGTGTTGACCTCTTCTCTTATCTTGGGAGTCTCATCAGCCCTTGTGGTCTGGTTTGTGACGAAATCTCAGCATGGATACAGAAGGCTCGATTAGCTTTCATCGACTTTAGTCATTTATGGAGTAGGAGAGATATCCGTCTAGCAACCAAAGGATGGGTTTACTGTGAAGCAGTTCGCTCCGTCCTACTTTATGGCAGTGAAACATGGCCAATAAGAGTAGAGGATATTCGTAGGCTACTAGTGTGGCGTGGGTTACCTATATCCATATGAGTAATATATAACGATGTTCAGGTATAGAATTTATTTCAGTAGAAGATCGTTAAGGAAAGAACGGTAAAGGAACGCAATCGGTATAAAATGCATGAAAAATGAAATCAGAGACGATGGACTGATATTTGCAGAAGTAACAGTCAAGATTGAGACAATTGATTGATAGTTTGCAAATTAACTGCTTACTGTATGGCTGTCAGATTTTAGTGAGATATTTTGTAATTTTTTGCCTAAATACCTTCGATTGTCCCCACTCGTGTTCTTGTTCACTACACTAGTATTCAGTCATAGGTGTTTTCGAATCATTGCTCGTATATCCTGAGACCACCGAGTAAGTAATACAGTTGTTGGGAAACGGGTACTACGTAATGATGGCAAATCGATTAATGAATTAGTGAAACTTCATCAGTTGAGATATTTGGAACACGTGTTACATATGCCCACGTGCCATGTTTTATGACGGAGGAGTAAGTTGGAAGAAAGCTAGGGGCGGCCAGACCAAAACGTGGCACAAATTCATGAGGTCACAGACAGGTGGACTGAGCCATGTTGGTAGGTGTAGACTATATGGTTGGGATTCGTGAGATGATGACAACCGATGGTTAGAGACCTTGAATGACATGGCTCAAAATCGTTTGCAATGGCGAAAGTGCATCCACTCTTTGTGTTCTACCAAATTCTAATTCTCTGAATTCCTCATGTCCCTATCGTTTTTCTCTTTTCAAATTTATTTCACTGGATTATACTTCTTCAATAACATCTTCAAACCCTAATCTTTCACATTAATGCTTATACTCTTACTACTTCTACCATTATGGGATGTGAATCGACAACTGTATCTCTGTGCTATTGTGGTATGGCAACTCAAACTGATGTACGTACGTTGTGACTGACTGTCGTTCGCTATTCTGTCATCATGCAAATAAACCATTTTCAGTTAGTGGAATTATTAATAAAAAAGAGTACAAGAGAAATATATTATTGCTGTCGTTTAATTTCTTTATGAAATACGGGACGAAATGTTCAAAATCAAAATGAACTGCATAAAAAGCTGCTTTCTCTTCACTTCTGTCGCGCAAACTGAATGACAATATATCGGAAATATCTGTATGGTTGGCAAAAAATACTGACATTTAAGCGCATTAAAGATTATATATTATTAACTACAATGTCTCACAACACATTTTCCTGTTTTTCAGACATCATCTGTCCTCCTTCCTTTTAAGGAAAGTTCTCAAGAAGTGCTTGACGATACAGATTTGGCCGGACCTTTAGTTTTCTGCCTGCTATTTGGTTGCACTTTAATGCTTGTGAGTTCTTAGTATGCAAATGTAAATTGTTGGTGTTTTGTGATTGCTTTATTATAGTCGTTTTGGTTATGGTACCCATATTTCCTTTTTTATCATTTTACTACGTAGGCTGGAAAAATTCACTTCAATTATATCTATGGATTAGGCGTATTTGGTTGCTTAGGTATTTACCTCCTGTTATCAGTTATGACGCCTAGAGGAGTTACACCAACTTGTGTCATTTCAACATTAGGATATTGTCTACTTCCAATGTGTCTTCTATCTTCATTTGGGATTGTATTTTCTCTAAAGTAAGTCTATTATTTTGATACGGATACATTGTACATTAATAAGGGATAATACCTCGAAAACGTAGTCTTATCATAACGTGCAGTAGATTATGCTTTATTAGTATCCACATTAAAAAAACTTCCTTGCTAATTTAGAGTAATTTCCTAGGCGTTTCTCCGAAAGAAACCTTAACTATTCATTTGTGCAGATTTTGCTTCCAGATTTTTATCTCACTGAACCTAAAACGTACGGTATCAAGAAAAAAGAACACCAAGGAATCGGCATGCACTGCCTAGTTTTTTTTTCCGAATTCACCTTCTTTGACCGATCATTTGATTGCATGGGATAATTCTACATACCATGTTTACCACATTCAAAAACAGTGAGCAAAAGGGCTATTGTGAATATATAGTGTACTACCTAACCACTTCTACCCGCGTTTATCAACCACATTTCTCCGCCTACCATTCATAACAGCTAGGCTTGCCAATACTTTTACACTTTTTGTTGTTGGGGATATCATCATATGGGGGATTTACATCTATTTCCTCTCCGCAACAAAAAATATTTATCCTATTCGCCATCTCATATATATTTATGTAAGTAGTACCCAAAATGTCCGATTCATTTACATTTGGTTGACCACTGAATAATAACCAATGTCATGTATATCAAGTCCTTTTTTAGTGCTGATTGAGTCCTACAGTGTGGTCACTAGTCAAAGTGGCTCAACATTGCGTGCTGTACTTTGAGGTGGTGGTTGGGAGTAGTCGACAGAAAACCCCAGATCTAGGTTTCATACCATTTAGCACCACATTGCATCTCAACATAATGTAAACAATATCAAGTCATTTAGACTAGTGACCACATTGCAACTGGATCGATAGAGTTCAATTAATACTAAGGACATTGCCACCAGTTACCACTCAGTGATCAATCGGTTGTAAATACATCTGAATCCTACAGGTCAGTTGCGCTACGGATAGCTCAGTGATAACACCAACTGTAAAGCTCGGCGACACGGAGTCAAGTCCGCCAGGGAGCATCAGAATTACACTTACACCTTGTTGGTGAGTGTCAAATAGCACAAAACGTAGGTCTTGGGTTTCCTGTCGTCTACCTCTAGTCACCTTCTTACAGTTCAAATTATATACTTCGGTAGTAGGATTATTCATCGTAGACTCTTCTGGATTATTATGCGCGTACTCGTCACATGGGTTTTTATTCACATTCATATGGATTAACATTAAAGTTAATAGGTATTTGTACATTTGTCACAGTCCCATCAATCAATTGCTTTTAGTCCTCTTAGTTACCACATCTATTCTTGTTGTTTCTGAGTCCAGAAACATTAGATATAAAATTTAGATTTTATTAATGGTAACTCTCCACTTTTTTTCGAATTTACTTGTACATAATTTTGTTCTATGTTTTATCATGCCAAAAATAATGTACAACTCTTATTATATTTTTCACAGAAGTATACTAGGTGTCGTATTAACAGCGACTGTCGTTTCGTGGTGCACAATCACTTCTAGTAAATTGTTTGTTCGCAGTTTGGATATGCAACACCAACGCATTCTTGTGGCGTATCCATGCGCTTTAGTGTATTGTGTATTTGCACTCTTAGTTGTGTTTTGATTTGCTTAATGTTATTTAAACCATTGGATGCATAGCTGTCAGACTTGCTGATGAAAAACCTTAAGATCTGTAATATTTATCATGTGAGAAAGATACACTTTTCCAATTAAAATATTCATTACAAATAGAATTATGTTTGTTTATGAGACACTGTTAAAAATATACTGTGTTTCACTTGGAATTATGTGCCAGTGTTAATAAACTGCTAAATACTGTCTTTGCATTAGGTTGGAGAAATTTAGAATACTTTACTCTTTACCACAGTCACGGAAAAATGTAATCGCTCTTGATCGACTTGAGATGACGGAGTGGGAGAGCTTGTTTTCCCTCTCGAAATATTTTCATACGACTGCGAATTAATGACTTCCCCTTAGGACGTTCTATTCACTATGCTAATGCAGCGGGTGCATTTTCGCAATAGTAAAAGAAGCAGATGCACAATGCTTAAACCAAAGTGGTAAATATGGGGGGCACATCTACGGTGGTCATAAGGCCCTAGTTTCACACCAATGGTGTATATGGCTCTCAGGACGCTAAAACAGATAAAGGGATCTGATTTTCAACTATCATAGGATTAAAGCCCCTGAAGTTACCCTGTCTTTTGGATTAAACATACCTTGGTTTGGGCGTTTCAAATAAGTAGTGATGGTCACCGATGAAAATAAGAAGTTGCTTCCCTCCAGTATAGACAGCTCAATAAATGGTTTACAAAATCAAACTCAAAGAAACTCCTAGTTTAAGCACTAGTATCAATTTGTTGGACTCTGAATAAGAAACTAATAACTTCGTTATCAATAGTTTAAATGCAGTCAAATATATCATGATAAGTCCAATGTACACTTTTTCTAGATGCCAAACTAATGAGGTTAGAAAGACGTAAAAAAGTATCTCTCAAAAGTGGACATCCAGTACTGACTTCACTCATTATACCAATCAAAAAACCTCTTTGTTTAAATCTAAATAAAATGTCCAGTTTATTGTGCTAGTCCACTCTAGTTATTTAAAGAAAATGGACTGACTGACCGTCACTAACTTGATAGTGTTAAGTAACCCATAACTTAATGAAGGCATATGATTTACATAAAATATAGAATAGTAGTGTACCTTACTAAACAGTCACCCTTTAGACTCCAGATAGCATCACTGCTTCGTTTGTGACACCTGAGATAAAAAAGATAAACACCTGCGAATGTACTCCATATGCTACAGTCATCCTGTGTTATGCGGATTATTCTCGATGTACAGCCAAGTGTTATCATTACTGTCTATTAATATAATCTTTTACTCAATAAACATAAGCTCCATATGGATGACAGTTCGACTTAAATTTCGTTCTGAATAAAACATTTTATTTTTCTAAAAGCCTGCTTGAATAACGACTTTTGATTTCGATCATAAGGTTTTGTACTTCTCACAACTATCATATTGCCAACTAATGAGTTGGCGTTTTTAAAAACTGGAACTTGTTCAAAACTAAAAGACACCTAACAGTTGCTTTTTAAATCCTGAGCTGCTCACCGATGCACATCCTTAAGCCTATTCACGATAGAACGCAGAATACCACACCACGTTCAAGTTGGTGTTGCCGTGTGAATTACATGAAGTTAACAGGTTAATACTCATCCATGCACAGCATTTCCCAAAAACGACGCACTTGTGCAACTGGGAGTTCGAGTTCCTACGCTGGACTTGATAATAACGATTATAAAGTAAAACGTCGTAAATAAACTAGTGTGTGGTGTAAATGGCAAGAGGGGGACCCTATGATCGAAATTATTCCGAAAAGTGACCCATTCTGATTGTGTACTCCGCGAAAACACCTGGAATAAAACAAAGCAGTAATGAGTGACTGCAATGCCCTAAGAAAAATAGCGATCGTTTCGTTGTAGTAGTACGACGCACAGAAGATAAAATATAAAGTATTCACAGGAGAAAATATCCACTAATTTCTCTCACATAGAAAACGTGGGAATACTGTTGGCTTAAAGAAAGTACATTATCACTACATAATAGTTTGGTTTATGGTAGAGCTATGCTCTCGCACCCTATCAAAAAGCACATTATTTACCTTGCAACAGCATTTGCTCCTAATCGTTACACTACCCAACTAATATTTCTGATAGTAACTTAGTTTAACAGCGTCATTGGTAGCTGTGGTTCAGTTGCACAACGAAACTATGCCGTTTTCATGATGAGTCTTCATTGTATAAATATCCCAAACAACCAATGCGGTCTTAAATTACCCCTTTATTAGGTATACGTAATTGTAGTTGTGTAGTGGACGCTACTCACAAGGATTTATTTATTTAAACATATGTATTGGTGCAAAGGGGCACCGAATACATATGCTCCACACAAGTCACTTGATTTGCGTGTGTGGGTTGTGATACTGCCCGGGTGCTCAGACCGATTCAGGATGCTTGTAAGTAGTGTATATCGGAACACTGCGTCGAATTCGCAACAACTGTAAGAAAGTAAAGAGTTTCAGTGCATCGAAAACATGGCGTTGGCAGAAAACCGTAAGGTCAGTCGAGAAGACAGTTCAGATTACAAAACACACCGGAAGATGCAAATGGACGATTAAAGGCTATCCATATGTACCATGTAATTACTTTGTAACTTTCACAATAAACATACATTTTTCCTATCTATTGTCCTGTTTTACAGTTGATTCATAAGATGGTACTAATCCATTGCTTCCAGGTTTTCTATGGTGGTTTAGCTTTAATTGGCTCATGATCTCAACTATTAAAATTACTATAATATCCGCAAAAAACCCTTCTGATATTAATCCTATTACATTAAGCTATTGATTGATAACACTGAAGTAACAAAATTCCAACGATGGACGATAAACAAATGTTTATTGTAAGCCAATATATTTGATATTGATGAAATTACAGTTGATGAAGATGGTTTTATAGGTAACTAATAAAAGAAGGTGCACAGGAGAGAAATATATACCTCAAGATGAGAATATATTACTGGTTGTTTTAATGAAACTGGAAATGTTACATAGGTTTTATGATTCGTCGCAAACGGAAATGAGTTCTTAAAAAAAGTGTTTTCCAAGCAAAAATAACAAAAGAACATTGAGCTATCTAATACAAATAAGTATATACAAGGCCTATAAAACAAATAAGATAAAACAGTGACAAATACATATGGAATGCAACCGAAACCTGAGGATTATAAAAGTGGAATTCTGGGAATATATTATATGAATAAACAAAGCAGTAAATAGACCGGATAGTTGTGAATACTTGATAAGTTGATATTAAACGAAAAGCTTTTGATTATATTAATGCTCAGAAATTAAACAGGACGAAGTGGTTTACAAATGCAATTTGTTAGTTAATAATTGTTACACAAAATAGTTGATTGTCTTATGGGTCTATGAGAGTAAAATTGCTGAGACATCTGTGTATCATTGAAGATGTTAGGACTAGAAATGAGACCCATGCCTGTTGGTGTGGAATTCATGAAAGGCGATAGAGTATTTAAATTATTGTGAGGGAAGTGTAAAGTATTTGATTTGATACACGAACCAGCAGACTGCATAGACAGAGGTTGTTGTAACAAAGGTTGGAGAGAATATTCTTCTAAGCAAGTAGGATCTGTTTGAGGTGATGAGTTGACTAATTTCCGATAACGGTCAATTTCATAGAAATATTGCAGTCTCACAGAAGCCGTAGAGAGACAGGCAATGAAAGTATTCTATAGAAAAAGAAAGCAACTTTTAATAAACTACCTACAAGGACTATACGAAAAACCAGTGAACTTGACTAGATTTAAGTGTTCTCATTGGTGGTCAGAGCTTGTGTACATAATGAATAACATTTACCGTATGAAGGCCAAGAATAATGCTTAATTGTTTAGACTTAGGTATGTGGAGAGAAAGGTTTGAACATTACTACAAGTGAGTGAAGTACTGAAGCTAATCTAAACAACTTTCTTGAAAAGTTGATGCTTTTCATGTAAATCGAGTGTCAGTTAAGTGGCATCACGTTCACTTTGAGGGATTCTAAATAACTTAGACATCGAAAGTTTATGAAGTGTATGCCACTCGACAAAATAAAAGAGAACTGTAGCTCGTAGAGAAGGCAACAGTTGTTGTTGTAAATAAACTGTTCAGCCCCATGCTTAAAGAATCGATTGGCTGATGAGACGTTTGCAATTTAAGGAAACAATAAATTCTTAATCCGACGTATATATATATTTAGCGGACGACCACTAAATCAAGATATTAACTTACCACCCACATACAAAAGAGGACTAAGACCGGATTTTAAGAAACTACATAAACTCGAAACCATACTTGACTGCGTTATAGGATAAACACATTTAATTCCGTTAGCCAAGTAATGTTTCTGTTAGTACAGATACATTTAATGAACCATAATGACACGATGGGTCCAATGTCTTATATGACTAGTTCTTATAGACCCAAATGCCCTGGTACGGCCGAGAATGGGAGAGACCGCTTTCCCTCTCAAAATGCTCTCATATGGCCACGTGTATACAGCCTCTGTCAGCGAAGTCCTACTCACTGCCTTCTCGTGGCATTACTGTTGTTTACGAAATTCAGAGGACGAAAAGCGAATGTCCGGCGCTTTAACCGGGTTGGTGGACACGGAAAATTCACCTAGGGGATTTAGAAAATCTTGATTCCAAACCAATGGTGCACATGGGCTCCAGCATCCTGAAAGAACAAATGGCGTATGAATCAACCGTTGGTCACCGGCCACCATGGGACTTCATCTACTTACGATACTCCACTGCCTTATGGATCAGATCTTTAGGTTAAAGGCTCCGGGTGTGGTCCCCTGCTTCAGTTTGGGCACTCAGGCAGTATCACAGCCCTCACACTAATCAAATGAGATTTGTGAGGCGCATATTTATCTGGTGCTTCCTTGTACCAATATTTATGTGTTCAAATAATGATAATAATAATATATATACCCGTACATGAAAAGAGCATTATGTTCAAAAAACACAACCACCAGAATCAAAACACTATACCAAGAAATGCAACGTGAATAAAGTTTTGAAAAGAAGCGTATACTGGTTAGTGCTAGTGGACACAACGACCATTGCTGATCACGAGCAGGTCTAGAAATCTAATGTAACCTGTTATATCTTGTAGATTGAACGCTTTATTCGGATCCTAGCTATTCGG